TCTTTAATTTTAAAAAGATTTTTAAAAAATGTTTAAATTGAATTTAAAAATATTTTAACATTAGTTAAAAGCAACATCAACCTTTCAAAATATCCGTGTGAGATTGTCATTGTCTAGCGCTTTGAAAATTGTATAATTTGGACCAATCAGATTAGCCATGGTAATTAAGAAATGTAATTTGTGTTTATAGTCGGACAGTAATTATCAAGTATGGAAGACCAACCAGAATACAATTTAGTTGCATTATTTGAGTTCAGCATTGTTCTCCGCTGTTAAGCCCTTTTTACTTTTTTGTGAAACACGTATGGAGAAGTTAATTTGAGTTTTCAATTTCAACTGAGAAGGGTACCTACAAGTAACAGTATCATCTTATGAAATTTAACTACTGCTAAACTTTAATTTATATGATCTTATTTTTATATTAATCTCAGTTATGACATTTTTCCATAAATGAAATATCAAAATTAATAAAATGAATGGAAACACAGATAATACAGTAAAATGTAAATGTACATAAAATTATAGTATTTTATGTACACTTCTGATAAAATTTCATAAGAAAGGTACCTAAATTTAAATAAGAAAAAGGTATCTAATTAGATACCTTTTTCTTATGAAATTTAATCTCACTATTAACAGTCTTATTTTTTAATTTCTTTATATTTTCCATAAAGCATCGTAAACATAAAAATGAAAGCTAAGTACAAAAAAAAAAAAAAAAAAAAAAAATTAGAGCGCTGAAAGTTTTCCTTAAAAGTAACAAGGTAAATAATTTGTTCACTTAAATAATTTCACTTCCTTCCATCCGTAGAAAGAATAATCCTCCCGTTAAGTTATCTAAACGTCATGAATGTGCCTTTAAATCAATCGACGCAAAAAGGTTATGACCTGCTTTGTTTTATTTTCAAATTACATTTTTTTCAGCAGAAGCTAAGTTAAGATTGGTTCAAAATATTTTAAATAAACAGTATAATATCTGTTTTTATTAAAATCAGTTTTGAAAAATGATAATTGACTTTTAAAAGAATATCAAAGTAAGATTTTAATCTTTTTTATCAAATCGAAAAAAATTGATTGAAAATTTAAAATGATTGTCTTTTTTTTTGACCAAAAAAAAAAAATATTTTTAATGAAAATTTCAGACGTGCTAGGAACGATTAAAAAATGTAAAAAATACCCCAAAATACTTTGATCTTTCCTCTTTAATAATATGAACATTAGACGATAAAATTTTGTTTTCGTCAAGTTCAATATCTTTTTCATGATGCCATGCTCTTTTGTTTACATTTTCGTGGGTGAGTTCTCCCTTTCATTCTCACGATGTGTCTTAATTGTGTTTTCAAATTGATTTTATTAAAAAACAACTGTATTTTTCCCCATTTTCGGTCCCGTTAGAACCACTACAAGGTAATTTTATGTAGTCCTGTGAAGTTTTGTTGAAATCGGCTAAAAAAATGTAGGAAATTCGATCCAACATATAAACGTTATAGACACACACACACAACCTGCGTTTTATAATAAGTAAGATATATAATATATATATATTAAAATTTTTATCCCACAATATCTAAAATGAGACTGCTTGAGGCTCTGGACTTTGCTAAGGGCTTTGTAAATATAAACACCTAAACAAATATAGTTTTACATTTACCATAAGTAAATATTAGTCCACAATGGAGAAGCTTGAATTTAAAAAAATGGTGGGGGGCAACTTCAATGTACCACAAGGTTTGTTTGATAGGCCTATTAATTCAGAAATCTAAGAACTATATATTTTACATAAGAAATCAACAAAATAGTACACAGAGAGAGGCCTGTATAAGGATGATGGGCGGATAAGTGTGCCAGACAACAGAAGAGTAAATGACAATATGAGAAAGATTCTCTTCAAAAGCCTCGACTGAAATACAAGTTGATATGAATAAGAAAATTGTTCAATATTTGGATATAGAATTAAATCTACAAACTAGCAGTCTCCCTCCCCTCAGACATGAAACCCAACACAAAATTAAAATATGTGAATGCCGTATCCAACCACCTTGCAGGTATAATAAAAGCATATCCCTAAAAGGCAGAGAGTTCAGATTATCTAGATATTCCTCTTGTAAAATAATTTTCCAAGATAAAAAAAGAGTATGAAAAGAATTTACAGGAAGAGAGGCATAAAAGTAAACTGGAATTTGAACCTCAAATAAAACAACACAAATGAAGAATAATTTGAGGAAAAGAAAAAAAAAAAATGATTTGGCTTAGGTCCCCTTTTAACTTAAGAGGTCAAATGTAAAATAGGGAGAACTTTTTTCAAATTACTCCCCCACCCCAAATTCTGAATTACACAAAATCTTTAATAAAAACAGTTAAATTAAGCTACAGCCTCACTCGTAACTTAGAAAACAAAATAAAAAGATGAAACACCAGAAATTTCAAAACTAACTTGCAGCAAGATAATATTAACAGTGAAACATGTAATATGTAACAGTAGAAATAAAAGTAAATGTTCACTAGATGGAGATTGCAAAACTGTAAGAGTAATTTATAAAGCAAAAGTAATATATATAAATGGCCAGACCAAAATATATGCAGAATGTACTGAAGTCATCATTCAAGTTAGAAAGACTTAGGAACTCGACAAGCCAACCATATGTGGAAATCAAAAGAAAAAAAAAAAAAATCTGACTATAAGCTGGAAAATATAAAAAGCCAAACCTGACAACAACCAGTGATATCTGCGATTTTTGCCAGGAAGAAAAGTTTAACATTTCCAGACTCCCAAAAGAAAAAAAAATAATGACACGATGCATACACAAATTTCTTTTGAGTTTGTATGAACCAGGATAAGTTTCATACATTTAATATACCCCCCCACTGGATACAATTTAAGTACCCTTGCTTTTCTCAACTTCTATTACACTTCACATTGTGCATTTATTTATTTTTAAATAAAACATTAGGAAATTATTTAGCTTGGATTGCCTGAAGATAATGAAACGTTGAAACCAAGCATGATTGGCTGATTTAAATATAATAATAATATTAGTAATAAAGAAGTTAACGGTCAGAGTTGAATTAAACAAGGAAAGAGTAGTATTAACAAAGTGCTTAATACACATATAAAAATTTAACACATAGCGCTTTTAAGTATAGAAAATCAGTCGATTCCACTTACCTTGATTTAAGCCTTTTGCTATCTTCAAGCGATTTCAGTTAATTGATTTCCTAATGCCTTATTTTTAAAAATAATAAATAAATGAATAAGTGCACGACAAGTGTGGTAGAAGGTGAGGAGGAGGGGGTAATCATGTGTAGTGGAATTGTACACGGTCGGGGATTAAATGAAATATACATGTTCTTTTTTTTGGTCTGGGAATGTTACTATTAGGTTGGTGCAAAAATAATGACGTAATAATGTCGTTTTTGACCTTAAAAATACGTCAAAAAACGACATTATTACGTCATTATTTTTGCACCAACCTAATATAACTAATTTTTCTTGTTGAGATAGGTTGAGCAAGCGTGTGCGTGCACACACACTAATATATTTTCTTGTTCCAAGTTTATTTTAATCTTGCAAAATTTATGTCTATCAGAAATAAAATAATCATATGTATACACGCACACATTACATAGTAATAATTCATTTCATTTTAAAGCAACAATACTTAAATAGACGGGTCCCCTCAAAAGGGAAAGAAAACAACATGTCAAAAAGTCAGGGATCAGTTTGACATTGTATTTATATTGTAAACAGGACCCCATCTAAAATAGAAAGTTAATGTTTTTTGAATCTGGGAAATTGCCTGAGTAGAGGAAGTTCTGAATTCTAGGCAACAAAAATATTTTTATTTATAAAAAAATTATTAATTAATATTCGTCGGAAAGTAAAGGATCGTTTTAACATTTACTCTACATATTGTTTCTGTTTCAATAGTTATTTTCATTTTATGCTGAAAAAGCTTTATATTTTTATACATTAATACAACAATTCCGTTCTTTACACAACATATTCTAAGCTAATGTTTGATTTTTTTGAAAATGTTCCGCTGCAATGTATTGCTGCTAATAATTTTCGTCATCATAATCTATGTTATTTGACAATAAAAATATCTGATTCTAAAGCTTTTTAGCTATTTTAACCTATTTTTTTTTTAAAGATTTTACATTAATATTACTTTTTACAAATAAAAAAAAAAAAAAAAAATTTTGCAAATTCTAAAATATTGCCGCAGTACTCTCATTTGTAAAGGATCCATCAAGGCAATTTTTTTCTGCCCTTATCTTGGGCTAAACTCTCTCTCTCTTTTTATTTATATATATACGCGCACACACTTTAAATAAGATTTATTGTAAGCAAAAGTTATTGTCCTTTTTTACAGAAATGATTGGTAACTGAGAAAATAATAATCTAATGTAAAAGAAAAAAAAATTTTTTTTTTTTTTTAAATTTCAGAATCTGTTGAGAGATCAATTAACTAAAATCGTGCCTTAAATTTTAATTCTGTGGAAATGAGGGAGGGGTTTATCTGATATTTCTTATTTCATGAGAAAAAAAAAAAAAAAAAAAGGCAATATTTATGGATTTGTGGTGGCTGAGATAGTGGGGGTGGGGAGAAATGCTTTTGAAACAAAATTAGAAAATTATACAAATGTTTTTTTTTTTGTGTGTGTGGAATTTTTTTTTCAAAAGCCTTTAATGTTTTACATGCAGATTCAAGTTTTAAAGAAATCCAATTTTTAATTCTCGTAGATTATCTGAAAAAATGAAATGCCAAGACAAACATATTTGAGACATTTATTACAATTGCAATGAAAAGAGTGAAAATAAGTTTCGATGAATGTGACTAAGTGACTACTTGATTGGGGAGGGGAACATTTTGGTCATTTTTTGGCATTCTCTTTTGTTTCGCTGGCTTCCTTTTCACTGTTGCCCATTTTGCCTTTGCCTCCAACTTCTTCTTCTTCTTCATCATCTTCTCCTCTTCCTTCCTCCTCTTCTTTCTCACAAGTGCTGTTGGCAGTCGTTGTGCTAGATGGAGTAGAAGCAGTGACGGTGCTGGCACTTGTGCAAGTCACAGGGCCAGTGGCATTTTCACCTTCTTTAGCTTCTGCTTTTGACTCAGCTTCTGAAAGAGACAAACGATTTTTTTTTCTTTTTTAAATTTTACTAGTAATTCCAGGTGCATACAAAATGTATTTGGGCCTTTGAAGATCCTTGCACTGTCTGCAGGAAGCCGAGAACAGAGACAAAGCAATATTTGCTTTTAAATAATCAATAAGAATACCAATGTACAAGAAAATCTCATCTAAAAAAAAAAAAAAAAAAAAACAAAAACAAAAAAAAAAAAAAAAAAAACTTTATCAAGAAATCAAAGATTTTGAGAGAGAGAGAGAGAGAGAGAGATTGGACAAGTCCAGCCAAATTTGAAACACAGTGCCATATTCATCATTGCGCCAAGAACAAAATCTTACTATCAAGAACTTGCAAGATTAACATACTGACAACCAGCTTGTACACTGCTGATAGCATTTGAATATGCAATTGATTAAAGACACTTTCTGACTTGAAAAGAAATTCTACACTTGAATATTTCTAGGTTTCAAGAGATTGAGTCTCAATAAAAATTAAATGATTTATGTACTTTTGGATCATTTTGAGATAAAGAACTATCAATGTCCTCTGCGGAATCTGAACATTACATTTTTGGTTGTCCAAGTGAGAATGATTAGTCAGCTTGTTATCTGACAACCCCCACATTGCTCTAAATTTGATCCCCCATTCCCAATAGAAGATAACTTGGCTTTTTGAAATATTGCACTTTGGTGGTTTCTATCAATTTACACATGTGCCTGACAGTCAGGAGGCAAAGTGTTTCAATTCAATCATCCCACACTTGCCATCATTATATTATAGTCATCATTCATTTGTGGCCGATAGAAAGAATCTAACTTTCATGGCAGACCAAAAAGAGAAAAGCACAAGATGCTAATCCAAACACATATTACACACTTATATGAAATGCTTTATATGAAGTTCAAAATAATGATGAAAATAAACAAAACATTTAAATCTGGGATGTTCAAAAAGAAAGCCTGTGTGCAGTGTAACAGGCACAACTGTTTTGTTAGATTTATTAAAGAAGTGAAAAGGAAAAAAGAAAAGACAGCAATCAACTTTTAACGGGCAATAAATAGTCATAGTAATAGTTGTTATTAATGGTCAGTAAGTAATAGTTGTTAATAAACTAAGAGAAGACACAATTATATATGTATGAGGAAAAAGAAAAGAAAAAGAGGATATATTTTTAAATAGTGGAAAAATTATGACAAGAAGGGAGGACAATCATTATTCAGAAGATTCTGTAACGTTTTATTTTAAAGGACCTTTCTCCTATGTTGTCTTGTCAAATTCATTCTTTCTCTTGATACTGCCAACTGGTTTGGTTGGTTGGCTGTGATTTTCTTCATTCATAATTTAACAGAATTCAATAAGATTGAAACTTAAACAGCAATAACAAAACCTTATACAGAATAAAAAGATATGAAAGCAATACAAAGTGCTTGTTTCAAGCAGTGGGTTTGAATAAGTGGAAAGGAAACTAAAATTTGTTATTTAAAAAGAGAGCAATAAGAAATGAAGTGAGATTTTTTTAATGTGAAATTCCACAGATGATGTTTTTTTGTTGTATATTAAAATATAAATGGTTAGTTTAAGTGTGTGTTTAAAGTATATCTTTTTGTTTTTTTGAGGAGTTTTAAATAAAAAACAAACAAGATGATAATGTATTTTGGCCTTCTTTATTAAAAGGCCACAAGTCATAGCACACAATTTATATCAGGAACTGGTAGACCTATCTCAAATCTTGTCATTCCACTGGGAGTGTAGATTTTTAGTTTTGGTTTTGCAGTTCACTGCTGCTGCTGGCTTAAGAAACTTTTTTTTTTTTTTTTTCATTTGGAATAACAGCTGCTTGTTTAATTGAAGTAAATATGATATTTATTTTATTCCTGCAACAATATTTTGTTTTCATTCAGTGTAAACAAATCTTTTTTTTTTTTTTTTTTAATGTGAAATTCACAAAAAAAAAAAAAAAGGTCTTGTTACATGGAAGTTAAATCAACATTTTTCACTTGAATTCTTTTAATGAAATTTTTATTCATAAAATGAAATCAACTTTATTTTTACATAATCTGTATTTCTGTTTCTAACAAATGAAAAAAAAATAAAAAATAAAAAAAATTCATTTTTACGTTTGTTATACCGAAATGTAAAATTTTAATTTTACTTGATTTAAAGAAATAATTTAACCCTATTTTTTCTAGTCTTTCTTATTAGAAATGTTACAAATTCTATCTCAAGAAAGTTAATTTTCATATTGTTTTGTTATTTTTAATTTTTAACAGACTTTTCTTCCAAAGACTCATTCTCTTCAATGTTTACGCTGCAAAATTTATTAAAAAATATTTTAATATTTTTGTCTGTGATATTGTTATTCATAATGAATATATTGGTAAAATTTAAATTTTTGAGCAATTTGTTTTCCTTTACAAAAAAAATAAAAAATAAAATAGGAACAAATGTGATATTTTATTCTACAAAATTAATGAAAAATCAAGAATGTTATGTAAAAATCTCATAAATATCATTCAATAAATTTTATCTGATTTTCTTAGATATTGCAAACAAGGCATACAAAATGTTAACCAAACTTGCTGCTAAACCATCGTCAATTTCTTTCTACTTCTATAAATCATGAAAATGCATATTTATGACAAAATAAATCAGCACGAGTTACTTTATTTCTAAACAATAAAATAAAAAAGTTACTTTCATATTTTCATTTTCTTCATGTCATATTTTTGTTTCTGAATTCAAAGTTCCAACATTGTTTTTGCTTCATTAAAACCGCCTTAACATGGATAATTAATTCAAAGATAAAAATGCATATAACACTTTGTACACTCTTGTTAACAAGGTGTAAAGCTTTGCCAAATTATATATTAATTGTAATAAGATCATAGTATATAAAAAAAAAAAAAAAGAAGTATCAAGATAAAGAGGATTAATTTTCAAAGCAAATTTAATTCTGCTCTTAATCTGTACTTTTTAATTTCTTATGCAGACTACAGTAGCAAAGTACTACAAAAAAAAAAAAAACTTCACCTCTGACAAGATATTAGATCAAATTCTAGTTCTGGGTGTGAGTTGCACTGTGAATTGGCCTTTAAGAAAGAATAATGTCATGCTCTCTTTTCAAACTGTCAACAGAAATCTGCTGAACACTGAACGTCAGAGGCAAAAAGAGAGAAAATCCATTTGAGGGAAATTAAAACAACACCTCACATTTGGATATTGAGAATTGGTTTAAAAAAACTGAATAGAATTTTCTTTTAAAGAAAAAGATCCCCACCTTTAACTTCAACAAGGTGCTGTCGTCATCGAGATATAAAAAGAAAGTCTGCAAAAGACCGATATGCTTATGGGGAAAAAAGTTTTTGATTTTAAAAAGGAAAGACGTTCTTCAAAAGTTGGTGGAAATAAAAAAAAAAAAAAAAAAAAAAGGTTTTCTTTGTTTACATCAAACTCAAATTTATTTTAAATATTTAAAATTCATCTGTTATTTTTTTTTATCTTAAAAAGCAATAATTTTGATAAAACTTTGAATTTATATTTTTTAAATTTAGATCATAAAAACCACATTTTGTTTTTGCCTATTCATTAATTTGGAATTGGAGAAGCTAAAGTCAATAGAATTTTATTTCATCTCAAAGAAAATGGATTCTTGTCTCCATGTATATTATTAAGCTTAAATAGTTTTCTTCAGAATAAAATCTGGAACAAATCTGAAGTTTACATATTCAATATCATTACTTATTTCTAAATAATAAAAATATTTTGGGGCAAAATGTTGCATAATTTGCCTTTGTTTTTATTTTTTTAGGTTTTCTTTATCTATTGTTTGAAAAAAAAAAAAAAAAAAAAAAAAAAAAAAACCCTCTTTATAACAGAATAAAATGACACAAACCCTATTTTTTTTTTTTTAAAAAAAAAAAAAAGTAAATGAATTTAAATCAATAAAATTTGTTTTCTCCCATTAAAGTCGCTCCCAAGTGACATTGAAAGTGAAACCAACAGTCTTCTGGCAAGCACAAAAACTGCAACCTTAGTTTCAACAAAGCATTTTCTGCAACACTTCTGTTGATTGTAAATCAAGGCAAGAATCCAAGTCCAAATAAACAAAACCCCTATGACTCTGTTCAAGTGAAACAAAAACAAGTATCATTAAAAGAAAGTTTAAATACAAAGAAAACATGTTAGATTTTCTTTCACTTCCACTGCTTTCAACAGCAATGGCAAGAGATGAGGGTTAACCTGTCTGGATGCGGCAACATGACATTATGTCAGTTAGAAACAAATCCTGTGTGAAGGGGAAAAAAAGAAAAAAAAAAGAAAAGAAAAGAAAAAGTGTTCATGTGACACTGGTGACAGTTTGTATTTCATGTTTTTGCATCAAGACAGACAAAGGAATATTGAATTCAAGAGGAACTGTGTGGTGCAGATCCGACTTTGGCAAAAGGCCCTACTTGAACATTAATACTTACTGTAAAGGACTTCTTAAGCATATCCACCTACAAGTGCAAAAGCTATCTTTAGAGAGAAATGAGGCTAACAACAAAATTTTCTCTAAGACAAAATCAGCAGAATAAAATTTGCGATTTTTAAACAAGGTTATCATTTGTTTTTCCCCAAATGTACATTATTTAACAATTATAATCTTTACATTTTTTGACGTTTCTCAGTCTGAAACAAATATCAATTAATAAAGTTTACAAGTACATATAATATGAAAGGAAATCTAGTAAAAAATGATAAAGCCTCAATATAAGAATTTGGACACTGCTACACATAAACAAACAATATGGAGTAAAATTATAATCCAAAATTTGAATGACATCATGTATAGATTAGCTTTTGTAGCTTAATTAGTGAGAGCAGAGTTGCTCCCAAGGAAAGGATGCAAGTTCAAACTTGACTTTATTTCTGATTTATGCAGCTTAATATTTCTAACATCTAAAAACAAACTGATGCTGTGAGGAAAGGGGAGAAAAAAAAAAAAAAAAAAAAACAGTCTAAAAGGAATCCTTCCTAATGACAAAGTTTCAGTCAAGAAATTTGTAAAGCGCATGACAAGTGTGAGGAATTGTTTGAAAAAGGACAAAAACAAATGTCCTTTTGATTTTGTCTGTTTTTTCTTCAGCTTGATATTGAGGAAGGATAAAAGAAATGTGTCCACTGAAACTTCAGCAATTCATCTATGTTGTTAAATTACAATTTTGAAAAAGAAGATTAAAAAGGAAACATCATTTAAAAAGTTTACTGAGCAATACATGTAATTAGGGACCTCCATTAAATTTTCAATACTTAAGGTTTAAAATGAATTTTTAAAAATGAAAAAGCATTCTTTTTAGCTTTAATTGAAAATTAAATGATTAAATTTACTATTTCCAGTAAGCAAAATACTCTGGTGTATTTCAAATAGAAATTGATTGGAATCTCAACTTTTTGCTCGCTTTTACTTTAAAGTTAAATTAATCTGATTTGAAGCAAATATTACTTATAGCATAAAACATAGTACACAAGCATTTCTTAACCATGGGTCTTGTTTTTCTGACATGTTGACAGATGAGTATGGTTGAACAGAATTCAAATAAATTTATGAAATCTAAGTGAATGCTTTTTTTTTTCTTTTTGGTTTTGAACTACCTAGTAATTTTTACAAATTAACATAATATTTTCAGCAATTACCTAATATTTTACTGACTTTTAATTACTATAGTGTTATAGCCTTACATTTGAAAATACTTTCTGAAAAAATAATAAAATTTAAAATACTATAAAATTTTCTTAAATTAATTTAAAAATTTAATAATTGAGATATTAATTAAATACCATGATAGGGGTAATACTTTATGAAATGTTACGGCATTTTATTTATTATTAATTTATATTTTTTAATATATTACTTATTTTTCATTTTCTTTATTATTAATTGTTATCATGTTGGTTATGAAATGTCAAAGTTACTTTATTAAATTTTTATAATACTTTAAATTTCATTATTAATTGTTTACACATTTATTATTTTAATCCAATACCCGAAACAATATATAAAAAAATTTATCAGTAAAGAGAGGACAACTCTTAAAACACGATCTTTTAATAATAATGTCATGTATTGACTATCATACTTACAAAAATGGGAATGTTTATACACTTAAAAAAAAAAAAAATTTTTTTTTTTAAAATCTTGGTAAAAAAATACTTTTACCAGGTTTTTCAATTTTTGACTCATAAATATAATTTCCATTTAATAACAATATCACATAACTGAATTGAAGTAATGCTAAATTTTAAATGTTTTAAATTATTAAAATTAAGAATTTAAAAAAAGAAAACAATTCTTGTAAAAAATTCATTATTCATCAAAAAATTGTTTTTTTCTTAAGACAATGTCCTTAATAAAACTTATAAAAGCAATTAAGCTTTTCTAATAAGACTGTCATAGTTTTATTGCATTTTTTATTTTGTGATTTGGAGCAGATTTTTGGGAAATGAGTAGTAGTTTGAAAAGAAAAAAGAAATAAAGAAATGGATGACATTCATTCTTCAAGGAGTCCTGCTTTTAACTAATAAAAAAATTGAGATTGAAATTTAATTTCTCAAAATTTCATTTCGAATAAGTCCTGACAGTTTCATTAAAATACAACAATTATTTGATTTTTGCAAGAATTCTCCTTCTCCAACTTCTACCACCCAATGCTCATTTGTCACTCCTTTGTCTTCAAAAGTACTTTCTACACCAGTGAAAATATCCAAAAAGACCCCATCAACAAAATCAACATTGTTAAAGGGGTTATTGACAATCTGAAAGTACTCACCCCATGCTTATTTTGATCTTCCAAGGAGGACTTATTTGGAAATCCATTATCAAAGAAAGTGATAGAGTCCCTATTGAATGCCCTTGCAAATGAACTCTTATTTCAACAAATGATAAATGCCTGTTTAAAAGGGACTGTGGAAGTTTTAAGCAGGCAGTATAAAAAGTTGTTCACCACAGTAGAGGCTTCTTCCAAGTCACCGTTAACATTGGTGAGGCAGTACACCACCATGCTAGCTGAAAGCATCATCATTGAATTTTGTAAAAAAAAAAAAAAAAAAGCAGCTTGCACCTAATGCTTATGTATCCAGGTTAAGTGATGTTGTCAAAGCCAAGTGGAATCAAGTAAAGAAATTCATTGATGATCTGGATGCTAAGTAATTCCAGAATTACCTAGTTGGCACTGATGTACAGCAGACAGAAGATTGGTCTGAAGAAGATGCAGTACCAATAAGTCAAAGAAGAAATTGGTAAAAGGATCAAGGCTAAGTATTTCAAACTGGAAAAAAGAAGAGTCAGGATTCAGAAAAATCCTAAGAAAACGAAAAGATCTGTCAATTTCTTCTTTGCCCCTTGAGTATACCAGAATGTGCACAAGCCCTGCATGAAATATTCAATGGGAACATAGTTGGCCATACCATCAGACATATTTGGACAATTGAGGGTGGAAACCATGAATATGTCAGCTACATCATTAGTTTTGCAACTTCATTTTATAGGATTTCATCTCAATGATATAGTTGACTACTATCAATTAAACAAATACAAAGATGGTGCTGACTATGTTATGCAGGACTTGTATTTGGAAAATCAGCCCAGTAATGATGATTATGATTGAAAAGGCAATGGAAAATAAATATGGCCTTTTTCAGGGACACAAAATGTTCCTGAAAGTCTTTTCAGTTTCACACAATAGCAATTTATTATATTGTTTAGGCTATTGGACTAAAATAATAAAAGTGTAAACAATTACTTATGTAATAATAACATTTGAAGTACTATAAAAATTTAATAAAATAACTAACATTTCATAACCACCAACAATTAATAGTAAAGAATAAAAATAAAAAATACTAAAAAATATAAATTAATAATAAATAAAATATCATGGTATTTCATTAATATCTCAGTTATTATTTTAAATTAATTTAAGAAAAATTTTATAGTACTTTAAATTTTATTTTTTAGAAAGCATCATTTTTTTAAAGCATCATTATAAAAATTACTAGGTATTTAAAAAAAACATTTACTTAAATTTCATAGATTTATGTAAATTCTGGTGAACCATACTTAGCTGTCAACACCTTAGTCTGTCAATAACATCAAATAGAACATCAGAAAAAATAGGACACGTGGTTAAGAAATGCTTGTATAGTACTTTTTTATGCTATAAGTAATATTTGTTTCATATCAGATTAATTTAATTTGCTAATTTTACTCAAATAACATGTCTCAAATGCATATTTTATTTTTGGAAGATTTTTAAAACCAATAATTAAATTTTGTTTACAAAATGTGAGAAAATGGCCAAATGTAAATCAATTTTGTGAAAGTGATTAAAAAGTTGAGATTCCAATCAATATAATTTCTATTTGAAGTACCAGAGTATTTTGCTGACAAAGATTTAATCATTTAGCTTTCAATTAGAACTAAAATGAAATCTTCAAGAATGCTTTTTCATTTTCAAAAAATTCATTTTAAAACTTTAGGTATTGAAGATTCAGTGGAAGTACCTAAATTACAATATATTTAAACTTCTTTTGTGAGAGATTGAGGGAAGAGAGAGAGAGAGGGAAGAGAGAGAGAGAGGAGAGAGAGAGAGGGAAGAGAGAGAGAGAGAGAGAGAGAGGGAAGAGAGAGAGAGAGGGAAGAGAGAGAGAGAGGGAAGAGAGAGAGAGAGGGAAGAGAGAGAGAGGGAAGAGAGAGAGAGAGGGAGAGAGAGAGAGAGAGAGAGAAAGGAGAGAGAGAAAAAAAGAGAGAGAAAAGAAGAGAGAGAAAAAAAGAAGAGAGAGAAAAAAGAGAGAGAAAAAAGAAGAGAGAGAGAAAAAAGAGAGAGAGAAAAAAAGAAGAGAGAGAGAAAAAAAGAAGAGAGAAAAAAAGAAGAGAGAGAAAAAAAGAAGAGAGAGAAAAAAAGAAGAGAGAGAGAAAAAAAAGAAGAGAGAGAGAAAAAAGGAGAGAAAAAAAGAAATGACAGAGAGTGACTGATTAAAGAAATCTCCAAATGAAGATATAATCTTCTGCAATATAAATGTATTACAATCAAGTTAATTACCTGCAGATGATTCAGCATCTGAAGGTTTGCCTTCCTGGCTGTCGGCAGGTGGCGGAGGTGGAGGTGGAGGAACAGTGGGTGGTGGTGGAGGGGGAACAGGCTGCTGTTCATCACCAGCTTTCTTTTCTGGGGAGTCTGTCTGGTTGTTACCATTGCACTTTGTGTTTTCATTGCTATTTGGGGTGGTGCTGTTCCCATTGGCATCAGTTGGTGGTGGAGGTTGCTGAAGGAGTGGTGCTGTTGCTACTGTAGGACTGCAGCCAGCATCCAAATTGGTTTCAGCACCTGCAGTGGAATCAGTCAGAGTTTCTAGAGTTCCTCCATTTTCAACCATTGCTTCCTGAGAAGGTTCCTGGTTTGGTTTCTCCTGAAAATTTCAAGCACATGATTTTGTCAAGAGAGAAAGGCAAAAAGAAAACTTTACCACTCTTCTTAAAGGAGGTGAAAAAAGCATCAGAAGAAGAAGAATTCTAAAGAGTTCAGTACTTTTTTTTTTTGGTGGAAGTGGGGAAGCACCACCCTCACCCCACCGTCTGTTTCATCAGATGGTTTCATCAGCAAGTCAGTTCTTATCTGAATTTGTCGACAGAACAGGGAAGGCTCCAATCAACTGGTTTCACCATACCTCTGTGTTCTCCAGTTAGGAAGAAAAACAACAAAACAATTTGCTTCTGGAAAGACAACTCGAGGTTCTTTCTTTGTTAAATTTAAAATGGGTGACTAGGTTTCTATCCTGAACTTCATTTGGGGAAAGCAAACTAGAGGGGAATTTTTAAAAGTAGCCCTACATTATTAAAGGAGATAGATATAATTTAATAATGTGTGTGCATGGACACACACATATACACACACCCTGCAGACACTTTTTCATGATTAAATTCTTAAAATCTCAAATTTAAGATTTTTGTTTTGTTTATTACAATCCAGTGAAATGAATGGAAAAAAAAGCTTTTTTTTAATGTAATGTCCTCTTTAACAAGTTAGGAAAGCTTTACATTCATTACATACAACCGGAAATTGAAATTGTTTCAAGACATTGTCAACCAATGTCCACAAACAAACAAAAACACAGGAATATTAAAAATGTCATGACTTAAACATGCATCATTCCTTTGGTTTAGCAGCATATCAACATCTCCGAGTTATTCAATGCCAAAATCTAAATATTTTGTATGGAATTTTTACTTTATTTATTTTTAAGAGATGATATATTTTAGTGATGCAAGTTTTACTAATTAACCGATAGCTGTGTGTGTGTGAGAGAGGGAGATTCATATCTTTCCCAAGGGGGTATCTGCGCATAAGTAAATGTAATGAATCCAACTGAAACTAGAACCCTGCTTTCTGATTAACAATTCCAAGCCATTTTCCATTATACCACCTGCACATCCAACCTTACAGCACTTTGTATTCCCATGTAGTCACCCATTTAGGTATAGACCTGGCTTGACATTGCTTAATTTTGGCGATTGTATGGAAACCAGTGTTTCAATGTAATGTGGCCATAAGCCCTCATTCCTTTGGGAAATTGTCTTGACTTGTTAATTTTATTTTTTGGGTTGTTTGCATGGTGCAGAAAAATGTCGAATGTGTACCTGAAACAATATTAGATATTCCACATTAGGAAATGACTAACACCTCCACCATTATTGGTTGTTAATACCACCACCACTGCCAAAACATTATTGGGAGACATTTTCTTAGGAAATCTATATTTAGTGATGATAAGGCAGCAATAAAAGCAAGTTATAAGCAACAACAATGAAAAATCAGAAAAGTCTTGATGTTTATACACAGAAAATTCAGAAAACATTTTCTAAAGAGAATAAAAGTAAGAGAGAAATAATAGCAGAGTCTTAAATTGAAGATTTAATTTTATCAAAGATCACTCACACAACAGGACAATTTATTGATTGTCAATGATACAAATGAACAATTTTTTGAAGGATAAACTTACCTCCTCATTAATTGTTAAACACAAATTTATAGTTAAACTTTCTAGGGATTTTTTTTTTTTTTTTTAAAGTTTCTTTAAAAAGAAAAAAAAAGCAAGCAAAAAAATAAAAATTTTCAAGTTGTGTTTGTTTGTTAATCGATTCTTCAGAGAAGTAAGAAACATTCTAATATGCCTGTCTCAGTTTTTAATTTAACAAATATACAAGTGAAAAACAGTTTCTTTTTAAGCCTTTTTTGTTCTGTTTAAATTCTTATGACACATAATAAAGGAATAACAATTTGCAAAGATGGAGAAAAAAAAACAGTTTGCATGAATTAACATCCTTGTTGCAAACTGAGAAGAAGAAAATACAAGCATTAAATATGAAAAAGTAAATCCCATTTTTTAAAGTTAAAATATTACAAATCTGGTAAAAGTTTAAAAGACAATCAAGTTCACTTTGAAATGTTTGCAGTATAGTCATTGGTAATTTAAACAGAATTTGAAGCAAAACACATTTTGAATAATTGGTTATCGAGAAAAAAACATATGACATGCAAAATATTTCATACAACTTTTTACTTCTATATAATTAGATCCCAATCATGTGGCTGTGTGTGTATATCAAACATTTGTACTATTGTAAAGACTAAGATTGTGTACTGACAAAATCTATCAAAACATTGGCCAGATATAATATTAAATATTATAATGCTGTAAAAACTTTTGTAGTTTTCATGGTCAAATCTTCCCTGTCACTCATTAACATAAAAAACACCCAAACTAAATACTAAACTTTTTAAATTTATAGTTCACAATTGGTGATTTTCTAAATTTTTTACCAACTGATAGCAACGAAGATTTGAGAGCCAGTTGTTGAAAAAAAATACACAGATGGAAAATAAAATTGTACCATCATCATTATCAATGATGGAACTATTTTGATCTGAATACACTATATGCAGGCCTTGGGGGTAGTAAAGATTCAAATAAAATTTTCAATCAATTCATGATCACCTTGTGACATAGACAATGTACTGGTATTAGTGTTACTATGTCCAAGTTTCAATTGATGACACATGCTGCAATGAAGCTCATTGTAATAATGATGGACAGGTAAGGAATCAACAGGTTGTGGCTCTTCAAGAGGTCGAATCCTCATTTTGAAGAATTGCTGAACATGTTGCATGTGAGGCATCAGTTAATACTTTGATGTTGGCAACAAAGCTATCAATGCTCCAAAACCCATAGCCCAGGTTTTGAAAGGCCATGTAGCACAGACACTTGTCAAGATCAAGGCCTTGTAAGCACAGATTAGAGTAAATGTATCCCCCTCCTCAAGAAGCTCAACAAGAATTGTTGGTTATTGTTTACTTGTGTACATGTATCTCTAGGCAGACACCAACACCCTTAGGCACATCTCCAGTGCTGTTGCAAGAGTCACTTGGGAGGATCAAATCGAGAGCAAATGTCCACCCACATGTGTGATAGAGCTGTATTCACCCATGACACACAGACCCAACCCCTAGTATCATGTTGTAGAAGTGACATAAGTTACAACTATTGCTCAACATTTTGTGCTTGTTGGGCCATGTTGCCCGGAATATTGCTCAGCTGTTCTACTGCTATACCCAAAACAGAAAATTAACGTGCTGTTCTGACAGGCAAAGGCTCACCCATTCATTTTGGAAGCCGTACATATATTGACCTGTATATGTGATTATTTACTGTAATCCTGGGATATTACCAATGGCTTTAATTTTAAGTAAATTGCAACTCATATTCAAAGGGCTGCAATTTTTCCATCAGTTTATATGCCAATGGATCCAAAGTGAATTTTTATTTACTTTTTATGTATGTTTAATCTACATTCAAGCAAATTATGTTCTACAATTATTATTGCCTATCACTACAGAAAACATTAAGTCAATAAGTTTTGCATGTTGGAAAAAAAAAAAAAAAAAAAAAAAAGGAAAGAAAAAGAAGCCATTTGTTGATTAACCACAAATTTGGGAGATGACTTTATGGATAAAAAGCTCAACTAGTGTATGAACTGAAAGTGAAACTTGAACAAAGTGTTTGGTTAAGGTGAGAGAAATCTGTGACAAGGTTAATATGTGCGCACACGCACATGCTATATAATAGCAGAAAGTGTCAGATGCTGCTGCATGCCCAGCCTATTTTACAAGTGAGTCAATCAGTGCAGTTCAAACATTTCACCAAAAAAGATTCCAGATAAGCAAACCAGGAAATTTCTCACACTTCTCACATGGCAGATCGAGATCCCTTTAACCAAGAAGAGTAACCATGCAGAAACTTCACACATTGAGAGAGAGAGAGAGAGAGAGAGAGAGAGAGAGAGAATTAAAGAAAAGGAAAGGAAAGGTTAGTCAAGGAAATCAAAAGATAGTTTTGCTGCTCTGTCCAGAAATAAAATGGATTATTTTCTTTGGCACAAGAAGATAAACTTGCTTTGTTGGAATCTAATTTTGTCACAGCAACAATCATCACTAATGCATGCTGAGCGTGAGACTGAGGATAATGAGAACCATATTAAGAGTTTAACTAAAAGCCCCACCCAACCCCTTGCTGCACCATGCAAACAACCAGAATCTAAAGAGAAAAGCGCACATAGAATTAAACATGCGGATTATTCTGTTCAACATTTTTAAAGAGTCATTTTTATAATTTAATTGATTCCAAAATACAATTATCAAATGATAAAATGTTGTTGATCTCCAAAATGCTGTAAATTTTGGGCATCTCGATATACTGAAATACAGTGCCGACCCATCCATACCTGGACCGTGAAACTTGCTGGCATGTTTGGCTGCTTGCAACCTTAAAGGGTTTTTAAACAAATAAACTTCTTAAATTTTTTGTGGAAACTTTGTTTAATGCTGTTACTTTTCCATTCTAAAACATGTCAAATTTAGAAGACAGAGTTTAATATTGAGAGAGGTTCAGTTAAAGAAAACTTCTCTTCCTTTAGTTTCCTGAATAATTAATTCTGCCTATTGGGAAAGCAATGATTCTATGAGGACTGAAATGATCCCAAAGAAGAAGTGCATTAAAAAAATAAAAATAAAAATAAAACCAAACAAACCAAAAGTAAAAGTAACAGCCATTAGCCACAGTCCTATTCCCCATTAATTTTGCTGGTGCTAAGATGCAGAATTATTTTAACTAGCCATGTCAGTGCCCCGGTTAGAAATTTTAAGTTAGTTTCTTGATTTATAATTAGCAGAATTTGCAATACTTAAAAACTCTAAAAAGATAATTTTATTATAGGTATTTGGAGATAAGATCAAAATGGACTTCATTATGAATTTATCATTTTTCCATCATAATAAAGTACACTCAAATATTTTGCGTTTGTAAACTTTCTACATAAAGTATGCTTATCAAATTATTATAATATAGTTGAATAAAAATATTTCTTCATTACTTTTTCCATCACAAGTAACTGAGGAAATCTACTTTTTGCCAAACAAACATCAACTCGAGCAGGAAATCCATTTAATTATTTTAAATGTTGTCTCTTTAATTTATCAGATTTAGCTTTAATTCTTAGCAGGAAAGAAATCTGATAAAATACACCAATAATTCAGTTTTATCAGCTAAAATTTAAAATTGGTGTATTTTATCAGCTAAAATTTAGAACTGATTTAAGAGGGCAAGAGAATAAAAAAAATCTAGCATGTGTGTGTAGGGGAGGGGGGCATATTTGTTGCATCTTAGTTATTGCAAGTTGAACAAAAAAAAAAAAAAAAAAGTACTAGCCATAAAATAGTGGGAAGAGGAAGATAATAAAATATCAAAGAGAGAAAGAGAACATGCCTATAATCCTAAAGAGCTATTTGAAGGCAGACCATCTACTGCACCCCCCAACCACTGGGAAGGGGGGGGGGGTGGAGTATGAGAAAGAAAAAGTTCTAAGCAAGCCAAACCAAAACTTTATTATTAATCTATTAAATCTATTACCTCATTAACCTTTGTCACCTCTGAAGTATTTTCAGACTTATCAGGTTCAGGGAGAGAGTAAGAAGAATCTGCAGCAGTGGAGGAGGGAGAGGAGGAAGAAGAGCAATCGTCAATATTTGCAGGCTGTCCAACAGAAAAAAAAAAAAAAAAAAAAAACAACCATAAGAGAAATTATATTTATTACACACACACACACACACACGAAAGGGAAAAAAAAAGTTCTCTGTCCAACCCACTTCCCAAAATCTGACCAAATGGCCAAACATCAGAATTCTTTTTGGCAGTAAAGTGCTAGTTGATTGAGCAGAGAATTTTTCGGCACCACCTCGTACATATATGTAGATATTAAGAGTATTGAAATATGTAAGCCAGAAAATAAAATTACAATAATATAACAAAAAAATCATAATGAAAATATAAATAGAAAATATGGAAAACTTCTGCTTGGTTCTATTGTCTTCAGATGCCAAAAAGGGATCATCATAATGATAAAATCATAGAAAAGTTTGCATGGAAGAAAAACAAACATTTACATGTGTGCAGCCCAACTTAAAACAAATGGAAAATGTAGACTCGAGCATCAGTCTAATATTTAGGCTGAGGGACATTTCAATAAAGAACTTCAAGATCACATCAGACAATTCATATTTATTATCACAATGAAAGAACATTACTATAAGCCTGCACACAGAAAATGTGGGCGAGGGGGGGGTCTATTTAATTTTAGCTATTTATTTAACAATTTAAAAGAAAAAAAGGAAATCTAAAAGTTTAACCTAACTTGAAATTACATTAAAGTGAAGAAAGAAAAAAGGTAAACGTTTAAATGAATTAAAAATTCACTTGCGCAGTTGTGAAAAATAAACCATTTCTAAAATTAAACTTGCACTGACAAAGCTATAAAGAATAGAAATTCCAGGTGCCAAATTCAACTTTTAACTTGAATGCAAACCAAACATTTAATTATTTACCAATAATGAAACAGAATGCTAACATCTCAAAATCTTTCTATTTCATAAATCTATTAAAATAAATAAAATGGTCTCAATATGAAAGAAAGCTTTAGAAAAATTTAAAGCAGCATTGTTCAAGAGTGTGTATATATATATATATATATATATATATATATAAAAAAGGTATATTTTGGCAGCAAGAATTCTCTGAAAAATGTTTTAAATAATATGGACAAGTTCTATCTTATTTTTTAAATTTTTTTTTAATTAAATCTTTCAAATTTCCAAACAAGTTTTATTTTATCAGTAAATTTGCCAAAATTCATATTAACTTTTATTTTATAATGAGTACTTTTGAATGTTGCTTCATGATTTTACAAGGATTGTTTTGTGTAGTTACGCAACTGGTTTTTAATTCCAACATTCTCGCATTTGATAGAATCAGTTTCAAGTCACTCAAGGTGACGTCATATAAATGGTCAAATGGAAATATGTGTGTGCTTTTTAATATTAAACACACTTTAATAATACAGACCCCCTCTGGAGAAAACAACCTTATTTAATGTTGGCTGTGTCTCTTATTACAACAGCCTCCAGAATTTAGAATTTTTTTTTGTACTGTATAAAATTTTGGTGTTATTAACTAAAACTTGTCCAATGTTAATATTATTTTGTTTATTTCTCATGTTCATCTATATGTGCACAAATTGCACTAAATTTTAACAAATGACAAGTTAACCCACGAGAGTGTGTGGTGCATGTGTGGCCAATGTAAGAATTTAATGTTGATTGTTAGTGTTGGAGATACAATCTCTCAAAGGACATAAAAATTCAAACAACATTATTTTTACATGGTTCAGATTTTTGAGGTGATGAATTATTTCTAAGAATTAGATTGGACATTTTGAATTTTTATTAATAGATGATAAATCTAGAGTATTTCTTAGGATCTATAACTTTTATATATTGGCAGATTATAATTTTAAGCACCTCTTCATCTTGTTTATAATTACAAGGCATTTGGTTACAATAAAACAATTTAATGGGCTCTTTATTTTTGTTTATATCAATGATGGAATTCAAAACCAGTTGCTTGACAAAACACAGAACAATACTTGATAAACACAGCAACATTTGAAAATACTTGTGGGGAAAAAATAATATAAAATAAAAGTTAATATGAATTTAGACAAACTTATTGATAAAACAAGACAATTTATTTGGAAATTTGAAAGATTTAGTAAAAAGAATTTAAAAGACAGAACTTGTCCATATTATTTTCTTGCAACATGTTTGAGATATATGACTTTACGAGTAGCGCAACATTTCTCCCCACATTCTACCAGCTCTAATTTATCCAATTCAAACTGGTTTTATACCCTGGTTTGTGTGTTGTCTTGACTCGTAGCAGGAATTTTAGCCTCCGGAGTCTGTTCGTTGCCACCATCATTTGAAGCTGGTGGTGTGGCCTCCGATTCTGCTTCCATTTCTTTGTTGTCCGAAGAAGTAGTTTCGCCTTTGCCAGTGGAGGTGGAATCCTTTACAAAGGAAATGGGTGACAGGACAAAATGAAAAGTGATTGCAAACATCATCATCATCATGCCAGTAGAATGAGAGAGAGTGGGGGGAGAGCAACAGAAGAAAAGTCAGCAGAGGTCCAGTAGGCGTGTCACAGAATAAAATTTAATAAAATTTTCAGGCTTGTATCTAAATTGTGTGTGTGTGTGTCTGTGTGCAAAGGGGCTATGGAAAGAAGGGGAAGTGGAGTATGATCATTTACCACTGCTTTCATGCCACCATCAGCCTTTATAACCAATGTGTTTTTTTAAGAGGGAAATTTCTTACAAAATCAAAGAACTAAAATGTACACAAGTGATATTCTTTGCATTAAAGAATATGCACACATTTAACATTAAAAAGAAAAAAGAAGAAAAAAAAAAAAAAAAAAAAAAAAAGAAAAAAAAAGCAACACTAATTTTTTTTAAAAAAAAATCTCTTTCCTAGTCTCAGAATTTGTTTTGCAATCTTGGTTGAAATCCTCCATGAAATTACAGCAGTATATGGATGGTAATGTTGCCCGGGTGTAAGCAAATATGCTTGGGGGCCCCCACACTGGGAAATTGTGTTTAAGTGGGTGGCTACTGCAAAAAAGAAAATTACTCCCCAAAACCCTTAAACAGTCATGGACTGAAGAAAGCATTATAAACTTGGTGCAGAAAAAATGAAATGAAATGGGAGAAGAAAAAAAAAAAAAAAAAATTCACAAAATGCATAAAATCAGAAATGTAATAAATTGGATTGTGATTTTTCAGAATTTTTCTTGTTTATATAAATTTTAAATCAGTGAGGAGTGATGAAAAAAAATCTTGCTTTGAATAATCATCAGGATATTTGTAATGAATTATTTTGAATATTGTGTAATAAAAGTTATATTTGTTCAAAATGACAATTTTTAAACAGTTATTAAATGTAGGAAAAATTCAAAAGAACGAATGATAAAATTTGGCATAACTTTTTTTTTTTTTACCCATTTATATAAGCATATTTTATGAGTAGTGTCAACACATTTTAGAATTTTGTATATTTCAAGAATTGATTTTCTAAATATTATTATGAATAGATTAACATTTTGTCCATCAACCTAAAGGAACAACAATTGCTAATGTTAATTTTTTTTTTTTTTTTCAACAAAAGGAGAATTTGCTGCAGATAAAGCTACTGTTGACAGAAATTGATAGATTATACCTATTCTTCATTTTTTGTTTTTTTTTTATTGGAAAAAAGTCACTAAAAATATATCTGAGTAAATCTTCTTTTTGTAAAGTGCTAATATATTAATGTGATAGTGTGTGAGTATATATTTATACATACATAGAGAAAACACGTAATATTTGAATGAAATTCCAAAGGGAAAATAGTTTTAAATTGTTGAAAAATGAATTTTTTCAGAGTAGATTTAATAGAGAGATTAATGTGAACAAAAAGCAAACAACTGAGAGAATCAACAATATTTACCAGATTGCTATTTTGGTCATCAACTTCCATCTTCTCAACATTGTCATTCTTCTCATCATCTTTTGATTTGTTGGAAGACTCGCTTTCCTGCATGTCCGAGTCTGGTGGCCCCGGAGTAGGTGCAGAAGAACTTGCTGGGGTGGCTGGTGACATGCTGGAGCCAACAGGGGGAGTAGGAGTAGGTGTAGGTTGTTGGGGTGAGGCAGACTGTTGCTGTTGAGCTGCGGCTGCGGCAGCAGCTGCAGCCGCCTTTGCCTGTTGCTGCTGCTGCTGCTGCTGGAGGAACTGGGTGTGGCGTTGTCTCAGTTCTTCTTTCACTTTTGACAGCATATTAGCAAAGACCTCATCCGTAATCTGCGGTTTGCTCTCACACAGCTGCAATCAAGATATGGGTTGAATGATTCCAATTGTAGAATTAATGGTTTTTAATTTAAATGTTAATCTTTTTTAGATTTATCAGTTTCCTACATCCCATACACAAGTTTTCTCAAAATACATTTTTAAGCAATTCTTATATATTACTAGCAGCATGGCCTGGTGTTGCCTGTGCTTGATTCAAAAATCATGACTCATACAGCAATTGCTATCACTTGACTTAAAATATCTTTGCCCTTACTTGCCTTTAAAGGAGTGCCCTTTGCTGTGCTGATGTTGCTACATGCCTTACTTCTTGCCCACCCCACACTGCAAATTTTTTCTAAGCTCTAAACATTAAATCTGTTACGAAAAAAGAACTAAATAAAATGAACACAAAACGATCAGCTTTAAAAAAGGACTTGTTACTGGAAAAACTGAATGAAAAAAGAATGTTAACAACAAATACTTTTTTTCACAACTACCCAGTTCTGCTGAATCAGAATCAACGTTGAGTTTAAGCAAGCGAATGAGCCAGTTGGAGTAAAGTGCCATGCAGATTTAAATTTTTCCCACCTGTGACGAATGCAGATATCAATTTTTTTTTGCATGCTAGTTAACATTCGTGTCAGTCAGCTGTTGGCTCTCACACTGGCCAATAGAATCTTCCTGCCTATTCGTGGCAGCCAGCTATTGGCTCTCACTCTGGCCAGTACAAAATGGCCGTAAACTACGTGAAAACTGCTGTAGAAGCATGAAAAAAATCGATTATTTCCACTATCGATGGGAGTTGGGAAATGCAAAATCGGTCTTGGCCTTCCCACTAACTCGGAACATGTGCATGTAAATTTTGGCGCAAATCCATCAAAAATTGTGGCCATGCATTCGTTACACACACACACACACACACACACACACAGCCTTTTATAGATAGAGATCAAAGTATCTCCTCATTCTGGTAATTTGTTTTTGTAACAATCCAATGTGCCTCCTTCCCAAGGTAGGAAATGTAATTCTTGAGAAAATGTTGGCCCATATCATTTCTATTATCAGATGAACTAAAATTTGGAGCTGTTCATTAATTAGATAATAGATTAGCACGATTACTTTAAAAAGTCTGGGTAGCAGTATAACTGAAAGCTTAAAATATTTAACTCTAAAGGAGATTAAAAAGAAGATATTTATTATAAAATAATATTCACAAATGTAGAGACAAAAAGCTGAAAGATACTTAATAGTTAATTCCACATAGAGTACAGACAACAGAAACTTCCAAATCAAAATCTATCAGGAAAACAAGTAAAAAAAAAAGAAAAAAAAAAAAAAAAAGAGTTTAATGCTTAAAATTTGCAATAATGTAGGTTGTCAAATTATTGCATCTGCCTAATATAAAAATAAAAGTTATCTGCAGTGAACTTTATTGAGATTAGCACAGAGTTAATGCAATATATTTTATACAGTCTTTTTTCTTTTCTCATAAAATTGCCAAAGAATATTGATCTTACTACTCAGAAACACTGATGCTAACCTTTTTTAATTCCTCATGAAAAGCTTCACTTGTCTCCACAAATTTCCGTTTCTTAGCTTCATGTCTATCTTCAATCAATTTTAACTCAGACTCTAATTTTTTCTGAAAGAAAAACAAAGAAAATAATAGTTTCAAATCAAAATTAAAATCCAAGAGGTCAGTTTTTCAAAGTACAATTGGCAAAATATAATTTTATCATGCTCAAAGTTTATTTTGTTCTTGTTTGATCCCAAACAATGTCCTCATTCTGGAAATTATTTTTATTAACTAAAATTCTCAACACTGAATCTGATTTTTCTGAAAAGTCATTTGTTATCCTCAGGTATTTGAAAGACTGGAGACCCACAGAGTAATATATCTTGGAATACAAAGACATGACAAACTCTGGATTAGGGTGAGAATTAACACTGAATCTGCCTTTTCTAAAAAGTTGTTTGCCGTCTTTGATGTTTGGAGATCAGAAATTGAGGAGAGTAGTAAGTAGCTCTCAATATTTGCTTGTTCAGGCAAATGCAACAAGAAAAGTCCCAGTTGAATGTTGGAAGAGCTGCAAAAAAAAAAAAAGAAAAAGAAAAATTGAGCCCGTCAGTTCCAAAGCTGGGAATAGTCAAGAATCATTGAAGACTAGAATAGCTATTTCCCTATCTGTCCAGCTCAGCTTCTGATGAAGATAAACTGGTCTATCCATTCTCTCAGTGGCTTAAAAAGTAACAATGATACTTCGAGCCATTTGTAGTGACTAAATAGGGAGCATCCAATTCTCTGGCTTAAAAATCATTGATAGATTTAGATTAAATTTTCTTTCAATTGCTGCATCTTTATTGTTGAGTCTCTTTCTGGAACCTACAAAGTCTAAACAGGCGAACAAAGCATAATCGGGGGAGGGAAAAAAAAAGAAAAAAGTTTCAGCATCTGTTATATTTTCAAAAAGAGCCATCTTGGTTTTTTACTCTTACCTGATGCATGGTCAGTGAATGCACTTGTCTGCGAAGAACACTCATTCGACTTGACATGATGACTGTACGGACATCAGGTACCATGGTTTCACTGAAGATTTCATTAATCAAACGATGATTCCTAAAGTAGCGTGCATGGGCAATGTGCTTGACAGAAAGACCGTCGTCATAATCTAAAATAAACAAACAAATACTCACAAAATGTTTAAAGTAGTTAAAAAGCAAAATGTCTCAGCATTTCTGTTTGCATTAAACTTTACACAAAACACACCTAACAAAACTGTTAAAGTCAATGGCAAACATTTAATGATTGCCTGAAAAATACTAAAGTTAAGCTATAAGGAATAAAATTTAATGTTATTATGCCAACTGAAAAGCCAAGCTTAAAGGAGGTTATTGGAGAAAGTATTTAGTTAAATTGCGTAATGAAACAAATTAGGTTTCTTTTTTGGAAAGAACCAAATACATTTTCTTCCAAAAGAAATTAGTTAGCAACAATTTATTTAGTTACTTTCTTTGTCTTTTTCTTTCTTCCTTTATTTATTTATTATGAACAATATCAACAAAATGTATTTTGGTCAATATTTTGAGGTACAGAGTTAAAACAATTCATTATGGATCCAGGTGAAGTCAAAAATGAAAACGATTCACTGTGAAAGATATTTGTTACTTTGAAATAGATATACTTGAATGTTAAACCCAAGTTGCCACTGACTGTAAGATAACCCAATTGAAATAGACAATGACATTCTGAAAATAAAGTTAAAAGAAGAGAGCTGGACAATCAAAGCACAAAAAGTTAAGAGAAGCTAAAATAAAACCCAAAGTGGACTTTTGCAAGGAATTGGTTTTGTTTGAAGGCCCTTAATAATCATGGAAACATACAGATTAAGAGTTTTGTGGGGAGGGAAGAAAAAAAAGTTAAAACTGCACAAAATACCTAAACATTATTAAGAGGGGAAAATGCAAATGTCTGACATTGTACAAGAGAATTTGTGTTTGTAATTAACTTTATGACAAACAAATCTATATCTTTCTTAAATTGATGTCACTGTTGTTGTTAGGAGAATTAAGGAAGTTGATACATTCCAACCATCAGTCACTATTAAGAAGGAACAAAAGAGAAATTACATTAACATTTTAAACATCATATTTCAAATGAGATTCTAAGAAAAAAATAATAAAACTAAAAACCTTGTTAATACAAATCGATATTAACCAGAATGTCATCTTAAAAATTTGATTGTTATATAGAATGTAAAGTTAAAATATGTAAAATTGTACAAGATTTTTATTTATTGTTTTCTGGTGACTGAATGAACAATTGGGAAACTAAAAATATATTCATATTATGAATATAATTCCTGAAAACACTAGTAAAAAAAAAAAAAAAAAAAAAAAAAAAACCCCGAAAACTGTTGTCAAATAGTTTTCTATGTAACAACAATTACCACTTTTTAAATTATAGATAAAATTTTAGAATGTATCAATTCTATTTGGAACAATGTTTTGTGAATTAAATATGGAAATCAATTCCTCTCCAGCCTTATAAAATGGCCGAAATGATATTAAAAACTAATTTTAGATTTTGATTTAATCATTCTGTCATTGTGTGTTTATTCTGGAGGTTTCAATTTCACCATCCTTAGTGTTTACACCACCTCCTTTATAACATTGGAAAAGACAACAAAACTTCATATCCAGAAAAATCACATACAATATGAAATTCATCATCTGTTAAAACTGCACCAAAAGAGGCATTGATTGATTTTGATTCCAAATTCTTTTTTGAATTGGTCACTGCTTGATCTGATATGTTATACATGCAGGCTCTCTCTCACACTTTTATTAATTGTGTAGGGTGTGACAAACATATATAGGACATTTCATATGTATTTAGAGTCCTCATTTTTCATGTGAGAATTAAAATGACATGCCCAAAATGCCAAAGCAAATTTCAGGTTTGCCTAATGCCTCCTTTGTCATTGATCTAAACTTATGAATATGCTTTTTCCAAATTCAGACTAGCCACAACTAAAGCAAATTCACCTTTTTGGATGTAGCATAAAAAAAAATGTTTTTCTTTTCTAAATTCATGTCATGTCAACAAGAAAAATCTTCAACAATTAAAGGGTAACACACACACATACACACACACACACACTTACCATCATCATCTTCAGCAGGTTGGATGCTTATCCGAGGTGAATCTGACTTTGATTGCTGAAAAATAAAAAGAATACATTTGGCCAGTTAACCCCCTTTTTTTTTTTCCCTTTAGCTTTTTCACTGAAATATTTGTCTTTGCTGAATCTAATTAGCATTTAAATTTAGGCCCAGAATTAAAACAAATATTTATTATTATGCCTTTAAATTCCTTGGGGAACATATGGCTGCAAGATTGAGTTGTGATTTCTGTAACAAGCCAGTTTTTTTTTTTTTTTTTTTTTTAAGTGCGTAGGTTGTTAGGCTACTGCACAACCCCCAACCTGGAGGATCAGGCTTTGAATTCAGAGTTATCCTCCTAAAGCACTTGTCACCCAAGGCTATAGAACCCGGTCCATCCTGCTATTTACCCATAGCTGAGGGGAGAAGAGGAACCTTTCCCAAGGGTATTAGCACGTAAGTGAAATGTAATGGATTCAACTGGAATTTGAACTCGGCTCTCAGATTCCTTAATTATTATTACTCCACCATGTCTCCTCAAAGAAAAAAAGAAAAAAGAAAAAGGAAGGTGGAATTTGACAAGACAGTTTGCCTTTTGTAAAATCTACAAATCCATACATCAACTATAAGAACTAAAGTAACAATAAAGCATAAAAGTTATCACACAAAATGGATTAATCCTTTATCAATGTTACATATTTTAGGAAAACAATTCTTTTTTTTCTTCTTTTATAAAAATACAAAAGTTGCTGACATATTTGAAGAGCTGGCAGCTCTCCTAATGTCTACTGTTCTGCCAGTTTCAAATTTGTGCAAATAATGATGGTCTTTTACTGGTGCATGATGCATCAAGGGAATAGAGAAAAGTGTTTCTTGTAATAATCACAAATGTATAGTTTAGGATAGTATCAATCAGTCTAACTAGTAGTGCACAAGGTAAACCAAAAACCAGTGCAACTAAATCAAGTGTTGACATTTTGTATTGGACATTATTCTTCTCAACAATAGATTAAAATCAAGGAGAGGGAGGTGTGTGTTTTTTTTTTTTTTTTGGCATAAAATACTTCCTAATATCTAATCAATATTCAATGATAAAACATAAAACACACATTTTTTCCCTTGATAAAAAGATGACCATTATGAAGTGGAATTTTCTTTGTATTTTATCTGTCCCCAGTGATAGCTTGCACACAGAAAGTAGCGCTACTCTTACTGCCTTGAGCATTTATATAGTCTCTACCTTAGCTACCTAAATTAGGCAGTCATTTATATATCACTACAATGACATTAAAGTAAATAATCTTTTTTTTTTTTGCAGTTACGTCTTTTATAAATGCCAGAAAAAAGAACAAAGGGTGAAAAACTCAAGGTGATTTTATGCTTTCAAATGAACAAAATGTAAAGCGTCATTAGATTTCTTTTCCACTGCACTTCTCATTCAGTCTTAAATACAAGAATGATTAAATGCTGCATTAATATACAATATCGTTTGTCTAACGATACAGCATTGATATTGTAAAGGAACCACTGAGCAGTTCATAGTAAATTAATAAAATGATAATTAATTTTAGTAAAGGCCAATTGTTTCTAATTAAAATATTATACATTAATCTTGATAGGTGTTATTTGTAGTCTTTTTTTATCCTTACTAATTGTATTCTCCTCTGTATAGTCTGTTTTCTTATCTGATGAAGTTGCATCATGTCCTCTAGCATATCTCAACGTTATCTTCTTTATATGAATCTGAAACTGTTGCAATCATCAAACTTGTTTATAATTTTCTGATTAGGAAGAAAAAATTTAATTGAAGTAGTAAGTTTATGAGCAATATAATTGCTTTATCCATCACATTTGAAACCATCTGCTTTTTGAAACTATAGTTCTTGACAATCATTGATCAATTCATAGTTGAAGAGATCAGAGAGGCATAAAAAAAGAAAGAATTTTCCCTCTGTTTCTCTAACAAGTACTTACTCTTACTCTTCGAGGTCCTCTGCCTGGCATTTCTTTCTCCATAATACCATCATAGCCATTTTTACTAGAATTCATGCTGCCCTTGTCTGGCATGGAATTCTAAGAGGAAAACATTGAGGTTTACAAAATATAACATGATTACAATTGAGCTTAAAAAAAACATACAACTGTAGCAGAAAAAATATTTCTGAAGAGCAGAATGAAAAATTGAAAGTGAAAAATTAAAAAATGTGAAAAAATAAATACTGTGAAAATTTTTTTATAAAGAGTGAAGAAAAAGTGTAAAAAAAAAAAAAAAAAAAAAAAGGAAAAAAAAAAAAAAAAAAGAAAAAAAAAAAAAAAAAAAAAAAGAAAAGAGAGTTGAAAGAGTAAAAAAAAATTTTTTAGATGGCTATTTTGCTGGTTTGCATAACTAATTTAAGAAATGATGTTACCCAGCTAAATATATAAGAAAAAAAAAAAAAGAAAAAGTGTCCAACTACTTCATAACAGAGCCTAACAATGACAACTTTTGATAATGAAAGCTCAACTGGAAGATCTGCCTTTGGAATTGTTGGTCATTCAATGTTAGTAAAGCAGTAAGTTGAGAGGTTATTTACCTGCGGCCGGCTTTTTTCTCTATCTTCATCTTCTGCCTCTGCTATTGGGAAAAATTAAATTCACTGAAAGTTACCAGGATCAAGACAAAAATCAAAGCATAAAAAAAAATAATAAAAAAAAAGTTCTAAAATCATGTTTCTTTGTTACATCATCAGTGATTAAATCCCAAGTTAGTAGATTTGAAAGATTCTATTGAATTAGAAAAAGTTTTGAGTTGGATAAATCAAGTGGGGATGGAGAAAAACTGATTTCAATCAAGTAAGTGTGTGTGTTTTCATTTTCGTTCAGTCTCCATTGTATTTTTTCTTCTAAATAATTCTCAAATAAATGACTGTTTGCATTTTGGTATGAAAACTGTCTTTCTGTAAAGCAGACAAAAAATTTAATGGAGATGGGTGGGAACAATAAAAATTTGGAAGAAATCTGTTAAAACAATTTAAAGAATTTGAAATGGGTTGGAGCCAAATAAGTCAATAGGGTGAGCTTACGCTTGGAATTTTTCTTTGCTAAAGTAATAAAATCCTTTGATGTCTATTGGCATTATACCAATTCCAGTCGTAATTTAACTCGACAATTTAATTGGATTTCTTTACAAATCCTACTTCAAGTAGGTTTCCCTTAGAAGCAGGGATCAATTAGGTTTTTTACTTGCAAAGCAAACTTTGTTTCAAATTTCACTCATGCGCATTAGAAGTTGGGAAAAATATCCTCATGTCTGCCATACACCCTTCCCACAATGGACTGTTAGCCCTTAATGCTTTGATGTTTAAAAAAAAAAAAAATGAAAATAAAAAAAAAATAAAAATAAAAAAAATATAAATAAAGCTAAAGTTGGAAGCATAGATTGACAAACAACACAAGACTGACAAACAGTTTTCACACCAAATTGACATACATTGACAGATGGATGCGATCACTATCACCGGGTTCTTAAATATTTTGCACCTTGGAAGAAATTTTCTTCTAGTGTTTCTAATTGTCATAACTAGAGAGAGAGAGAGAGAGAGAGAGAGAAAAAAAAGAAAAAAGAAAAAAAAAGTTTATATATATATATATAGAAAGTGCCTGCTCTATCAGAGAAAGAAGTGTATGTTTTTTGTATTTTATTGTGACTGTCTTAACTGAAGAATATAGATGTGCATGGCAATACATACCAATATTCTTGAGTCTTCCCTTAGCAGCAATCCAGGCTTGATAACCAGGAGAATTGTGATAGGCTTTCATAGCTTCATTATACTGGATCTGCAATGGTGGGGGAGTTATCGTAACAGCCATACATAAGAGACTGATTGATGTTAGTGATAATGTCAATGTATGAGGTCACACAATTTGCCAGTATCCTGATATAAACTTACCAATATTCAGGAATTAGATCAATGAATGAAACTTTAGCTAAGCAGATCAAGAGAAGAAGATTTAAATATATATATATATTTATCTTGTCTAAGAAAGGTGCAATTTTTTTTTTAAAACTTAGAAATACAGGTTCTTTTTAGAAAATGGTGCTAGATTACTTTTGCAGAATTTAAGAATTTACAAATGCCAAAGAGAAAATAATCTATAGCTCTTTAACTGGAGAAAACTTTGAGAATGTGGATGAATAAAAGACTTCATCAAAACACTTGGAACATTGAATATTTCCGTAATGAAAACACATTGGCAGGAATTGTCCATCGTTATAAATGAATGGCATTACAAATGTGAAAGCTTTTCATTCAAGTTACTGAGTGTGAGTAGACAACAAACATTCTAAATGGTGGGTTTAAATTGTTATGGGAAATAGAATTCGATGAAGAAATAAGCACAGTTCTTATTTAAGAAACTTGAACCAATCATTAAAAGCAGCAAATGCTACTTTGGAAAGGATGCTGTGATATTTATCAAGCTTTGGTTCCTATTAATGTTTAGAGGATCTAATCATGGCAGAAAAGGAAGTATAAAATTGATATTATTGAAACTGCTATCAATTTGAAAAAATTCTAATGAAAGAAACATGACAAATATAGTTCTGTTAAGGCTACTTTGCAGCAGTAGATGGATGCAACACTTTTGAAATCAATGCTTCTCATTTCTCCAGATGCTTTTAAAAACAACTTTCAAACCACAATGGCTGAGAAAATATAGTTCTGTTTGGCTAAATTTCTGGCTAATTCTACTTCATATTTGATTGTTATTAAAAAAAGAAAAGAAAAAAGAATACTACCAAACTGTATAGAGAGGTTGTTGCTATAACTTAGGAGGTTATCTAAGTGCTATATTAAATCCTTCATGGCTTCTCTAACAAAATCTTTTCTCCTAATAACGAGACAAGTAATACTGAAAGTAAATTAGACTTTTACTTTGACAGTAGCATGCTGGCAATCTCAAAATACCTCACAATTAGATGGAGTAGAAGGAGAAGTAAGTTCATGCCTTCATTCCTAGAGAAAGTACTGATGAAAAAAAAAAAATTGTTGCTTTACCAGAATTAAATTCTGGGTACTGTTCCAGTTTCCTTTTGTACTTGCAAGCTCCAGAAAGGTTACATTTTAAGCAACATATGTCTTGTAATATTAAAAGAAAAGTTATTTCTTGGTTATGTTTTTCTTTTATTGTAAATTCTGCTCTGACAATTTAAATCTAATTTATATTTTATTTCACACACATATAAGGTGTGCTATATTTATGGGATAAAGTGCTCAATATCAGAGATAGAGCATTTGTAAATGTGAATATAAAAGCGAACATTGAAGTTAACACTCAGAGGTGACAGGCTATTTCATGTTCAGCGCAATTTTTGCAGCCTGACAAGTCGCTGAACATGAAACAGCTGGTTGCCCCCCGTGTCGACTTCAATTTCATGTTCACACACACATATATATATATATATATATATATATATATATATATATATATATATATATATATATATACATAGAGAGCAAAGGTGTGGGTGTATAATCCAAGTGGATCCTAGTAGAATAAAAATATTAAAATTGATCCACAAAAAGAGAGTTGGTGACATTTTATTTGTACAGAGCAATATGATGAATAATCCCCAAAAATTCTTTTTACCCCATGTGGGTAATAGGCTATTTTGGCAGACGTGTGGTTGTCTGTCTTTTCAACCCATATCTATATATAGGTAACACCATCTTTTTTGCTAAAAAGAGCATAGCATGATGAAAAAGACCCCAAACTTGGTAAAAACAAAGTTTTAATGTCAAAACGTTTATACTATTATGAAGAGAAAAGACCAAAGTATTTTTTGATGATTTAATTAAATCTTTATTAATCCTTTCTAGCATGTTTGAAATTTTGTTTAAAAATCTGTTTTTTCACATGTCAGCATATTGGCCAAAGATTAGTATGGGAAATTTAGCATCTTATTTCAAAAACTAAATAATTGTCAGATTTTAATTAAATTTTAAGGACTTATTCACAAATGATTAAAATTATTCTCGATTTTATTTTATTTTGTTTAAATTTATTACCCCCACTTTCTTAATTTTATGAATTTGAGAAATTTAAATTTCATATTTATATGAGTTAAAAACAGGAGTCCTTGGAGAATTTAAATCGTCAATTTGTTTTAGTCAAACAGAAACACTACCGAAAATCTGTTCTGAATCATAAAATAGAGAATGCAATAAAACTGACATTATTTAATTAGTAAAGCTTTTATGAATAATATATATTAAGAGTACTATTGTCTTAAGAAATTTTTTTTATGAATAATGAATCTTTACAAGGACTTTTTATTTTTTTTAAATTTTAATTAGAAAAATTTATTAAGTTTTAAATCTTAAATATTTCTGTATTAATTTCAGCCTTTTAGATATTATTAAGTGAAAACTAGAAAAAAAAAAAAAAATAAAAAAAATAAAAAAATGCTTAATACAAATCATCAAACACCAGTTTTTTTTTTAAAAGAATTTAAGTTTTTGTGTGTGTGCGTCCACGTATGTGTGTATAAAATGTATTTTTTGAAAGTACAGCAACTATACATGACATTATCAGGAAATAAAAGCAACGACTATAGTAAATTTAAAGTCAACATTTAATATTTTCCTAAATTTTTAAGATTACTGAGTACTTAAAAATTATATAAAAATGGCACTCATGTCATTTTCTTAAATTATGTTTTACAGATAAAGTCTCCATAGAACAACATTAGACCTGTCATTAGGCTGTCAACACATCAAATCAGCGAAGGTAGAGTAAAAAAGAAAATGCTTTGTGATATTTTAAATCACTTAAAGTAAATACTATTTTTTTTCCAAATCAGATTAATTATACTTTAATTCAGCTAATATTACTCAAACTTTCAGAAAAGTATATTTTTGCAAGAATTTTAAAACAAAAACTCAGTTGTGTTTACAAATGTTTAAAAAAAATGGATGACACTGTCAATATTACTGAAAAAGAAAAAAATCGATTCCAATCAATTTCTATTGAAATACGCCAGAATATTTTGTGTACTGAAAATATTCAATTTAAGCCATTAGCTTTCAATTAAAGTTAAAATGAAAGCCTTTTCATTTTTAAAATTTAATTTAAGCTTTAGCTATTGGAATTTTTGTGGAGGTACCTATATATATATATATATATATATATATATATATATATATCTATGAATGAGTATTAACCCCCCCCAAAAAAAAAGAAAAATCTGACACTTCTTATGAATGTTCTTGTTGGTCAATTATGAAGTTCAAAGAGACTGAACAGAAAATCTAATTAATGAACATCTTTAAGGAATATCAAATTAGTAATTGAGATTTATGACACTGTTAATATGTGAGCATCTGGATTTCATGAAGAAAATGCAACTGAATAGAATTGACACCTAATTTCTTTTCTTTAGTGATGATAATGTGTGCATCAATGCATTGCATACATATATTAGTTTCCTGCATGAGAAAAAGGCAATTATTGGGATAGTGTAAAGAGTTATTTTCCGAGTAGATATTAATAAATGCAGAAGATTTCTTGCCATGCTAAGCTTAGATCTAAAAAATAAGACATTAATCTATAATGGAGGAGGAAGAGGAAATGAGTTGAGGAGGATCTCTTTTGGAATCATTGCATTGATAAGACTGAAGCCACTCCTCCAGATTTGTTCATGTTCTTTTTTTTTTTTTTTTTTTGAGATTGGGGGTAGGTTGAGGTGCTGAAAGAAGCTTCTATTTAAATTAGAACTTGTGGTAGACACTGTAAATGAGAGCAAGTTATGCTTTCCCCAGCAAGTAAGCAATTTATTCTGTCATGTTATACACCCTGATTTATTCACCTGGCAAGAATAATCAATTTCAAGTGGATAAAAATCAGGTGTCATTTTTGTCATAACTTCAGTAAATATGAATATCAAGTTTATCCAAATATGTAATACCAAATAAAGATAACTGGACACCAAATAAATTTCAGTTATTATTCAAGAGATTATTTTTAAGGTGATATGCCACAGAGAGAGAGAAAGAGAGAGAGAGTGAGAGAGTGATTAATCTAAAAGTTGCTTGGATTTTGAATATCTTTTGTTCTTTTTAAATACTGTATTTAGCAAAATCAACTGCAAAGCACCAGTTTATTGGTTGACTAATTTTATTCAGTTTATATTAAGAAAAAAAATCTTAAAAATTCTAATATAAATTGTTATGACAAAATGATTTTTTTTATATAGCTGTTATAAATACAAATTTATAAAGATCTCTTCATTGATAATTCAGATATTTCTATTCCAATGATGATCAGCTTGAGGCAAAATTATTTTAGAGTTTATAAAAAAAAACCTTGAGTAGAAACATAGTAAAGCTAGTGAATTCTAATCTCCAAGTCATAATAGCTCCACTTTGGTGCTTCTAGAGACAGCTTAGAAAAATATAAACAGCCATAACATTCAGAATTCTTCATAACAAGACAGCAAGAAGAAAAATATAGATGGATTACTGACTTATAAAGCCAAGCAAAGCAAAAATAAAAAATAAAAAAAAAAAAAGAGAGTCTGTAGCATACCACCTTAAGAGCAGGACGGACAATGCCAATGATCATTTCTCATGCAAATATCAAAACATCCACCATAAAAATAGATCCAATGTTCAACATTTCATATTAACTAATATTTTCTTTAAACATAAAAATATTACAATAACAAGAGATCCTTTATTCATGAGATATAAAGAAAGAAGCAAGAGAAAGTTTGTTACAGAAACATAAATGGGTAGTTGGTGACATTATAAAAGCAATAACCAACAACAACAATGATGATGATGATGATGATGATACATGCCCAGTGGTGCCAGTCATGTTACACAACATGCAAAAAATAAAAACAAAAACATTTCAACAAAATAAAGAAAATAAAAAAAAAAAAAATGAAGATATCTAACAACATCTAGAGAGTAGAATTCTTAAAAAATAAAAAAAAAATAAAAAAAATAACTTTCACTAATGAGCATAGAGTCATGCCAATGGAACCAAAGATCAGAGAGGGACAAGCTAAGCAGTTGATTTTGAAAAAGAAATGGCAGATAAGAGGTTTAGCTTTATTTTGGTTCAGAACATTTAAACAAACTGTAAAAACTTCTTCAATGTGACATATATTAATGTAATATCCCAAAATTAAAGTCAGATACAAAGTGTATCTTTTTCTTTACACAACATGTTTTCATTTACAATAGAAAAACTACACAAAGCCATAATCAAATGAGTATATTCAAACTCTTGATTTTATAAAACATAATACAGAAAACTTTTTTATATTCTTTCTTATTTCCTATCAGTTAAATATAAAACCAATTTTACCTATTTGATTCCAACGTTTAATTAATATGTTTGTATGTGAGAAAGAATATTTTCCCTATTATTACACAACCTACATAGATAAAATATTAACCAAATTATTATGTCATTAATTATAAAAACTGTCTGATTGGCAATCAAACTGTTTTTTTTTATTTTATTTTTACCCCATTTTAATCATTTTTACTAGATGATAACTGATGAGAAGAGACACACAAGAGTGTCTGAAGGTCAGGTAGTAAATCAGGCCTGCTTCCAATATTCAAAATTTTCAAGAGAAAGAGAATAAAGCATTTTAAACTTGAATTACATGGGATAATTAATTATGAACAAATTTTACTTTTGCACTTTTAAACTAGTGTGTCTTTAGCTGAGAAAAGAAGTTCCATCAATTGTCTTCAATATGTACATATAAACTACTGATCATTGGAGATATATATATATATATATATATTGAACAGGAATATTTTTAACAAATTACATGAATTGTAGATATTAGATTCCGAGTAAATCCTAATAATTGTAGAAATCTTTCATGAAACTAATTTTAATCCCAATTAGCAGTACACTTTTGATGCCATGAAGACCTTTTAAAACAATATTTGTAGACTAGTCTGATAAGCTGTTTTGCTTGCCACATTGTGGTGGTGGTGGCATGTAAAAGCCAAAGAGAAAGGAGACACCCATTCCATCCTGGTTACACATCTGCATTCAGATTTTAAGGTTTTTGGGCTCGAAACATAGCAAACATAATTTCAACACATTTTTTTTTGTACCTAAGAATATGAACAAACCAGAATAGAAATAAACCAACTTGCCAAAATATCTCAAGACAAAAAGATATTTTAAAAGTCAAAAGCTAAGATGGTTTTGTTTTGGTGCAGCTAGTAGCATATATAATTATTTTCCTGAAATCAGACTGAAATAATATTTAGTGTTTTTTCTTAAAAAAAAAAGAAAAAAAAAAGGAGGTTCAAATACTAATGCTTCTGAAGACGGTTCCCTTTTAATGACCGTCTTTGAGGCAATTATTAAGAAAAAAAAAAAAAAAATTTACGTATAGGAAAAGAGGAATAATCCTGTCTTCCATTTAATTTCAGTAGAGAGGAGGAAAAAAAAAAAAGAATGAAATGAACCTTTGTCATGGACTGTACAACCTTTCTTTCGTGCCCAAATTGAAGCGCGCACGCACACACACAGCTTGGAAAGAAATAGCAAGGCTGATTGTTGTTCTGCGCAGCTAAAATAAAATGCACACTTTTCTATTTACTATTGAAAATAATTGCAAAGCAGAAGCATAAGGATGAAGTTGAAAAGTCACAGAAAAAGAAAATAGAATTAAATGAAAGAAAAAAAAAAAAAAATTTTCCTTCTTTTCTTAAAGCACACTCAGAAACACACACAACCACCCCTACATATATATATATATATATATATATATATATATATATATATATATATATATGTGTGTGTGTGTGTGTGTGTGTGTGTGTGTGTGACCTGAATTGTTAAAAAAAAGAGGCTTGAACTCTACTATACTGTGCAGAATTAAGACTAGAGTTACTAGGAACTAAAACACATGCAATAGAAATATTCATAATAATAATATAGGAAATGAGAATATTCAGTTTTAGAAGAAAACAAAAAAAAAAAAAAAAGTGAAGTAAGGACAGTTCCCCCCTTTTTGTAAGGTATATATATATATATATATATATATATATATATATATATATATATATATATATATATATATTTTCAAGCATGTGCTAAGGAATGGAGTGGATGGTTCTGAGAATCAATAAGGCTGTGTGTTCTCAGATTTTTTTTTTTTTTTTTTTTTGATTTTTCATTCAAACTGATTCACACCCACCATGATTTGCCGTAGCTGGGGTAGAAGAAGTTGAACAAGAAACAAGGTTCAAAAGTTCAATGGGACAATTGAAAAAAGGGACATGGGTTTTTCAAATCAGATTTGACATGCAAGTTGGAGACCAGACACGGTTAGTATTCTACAAAAGTGTTAGTAAGTTTCAATCAGTGATTATAAATGTTACAGCTTGCAAGCTCTTAGCAGAAACTCCTCAACCCTTTCTCAAAGTACCCTGGATGAACAAAATTAATTCATGGCACATTTTATGACAAACAACAAATTGTCTAATAACGACTACGGTTTTAAATTTAAAAAAAGTTTTCAAAATAAAATTGAATGTCAGTGTTACAAATTACTATTTGATCACTTTAGAATGAATAATTTGAGTATTAGAATAGCATATTGACTTTTGGTTTATTTTTTGTGTTTACAGATTTACACAAGAAATAAAAAAATTATTGTGCAAAGAACAAAATAAAAAAGCTATTAAATTCACCGATGTCAGATAAGAAAAGTGACAAGGATATTTAATTCAAAATAAAATAAAAAGTGAAGAAATGATTTTCTTCTAGAAAATATTTTTTTAAAATGATTAACAATTGTATAAAATTATGACAGTTCTGTTTTTGTTAGCTAAGCAATAGGATTTAAAATCCGATTAGTCGACGACATCAATTTAATAGAAAGTACTAAATCTGATCAAGCATCAGCAAGAAAAGAATCTTTCCTGTAATCAGATACAAAATGCAAAGAAGAAAAAAACAAAAAAAAAAAACAAAACAAAACACAGTTGCAAATAGCATTGTGAATGTTTGATTGAAGAGTGGAATTGTGCCAGAAAAAGGGTTGAAGTGTTCATTAAGAGAAATGGGGGAGTGGTACAGCTCTAATAGGAAAGCAAAAAGGTAGTACAGCAATCAGTCAATTCAGTTTGACAGTAGTAGTAGTAGTAATAATAGTAGTAGTAGTAGTAGTAGTAGTAGCTGTATGCAAATTCAAAAACATTACCTTCTCTGCTTCGTATTCATCCATATACTCCTGTTTCTCTTTTTCGGACAATTCCCGCCACATCTGTCCAATGATTTTACCAATTTCCCATAATTTTAGGTCTGGGTTGGCTCCCTTTACCGAGTCCCATACCTGAATATTGTATTTAACATCAAGTTATGTGCTGAATTTACCAAAAAGGTTGGGGTTTTCAGGGTCATGATGAAGTGATACCGCAGCATCGTTATCAAGTGTGCTTGATGACAGTTCCCCACGCCAACTTAAGAGGGAGATTAGTTGATTGCCATGTCACAAGAGTTACACATTCTGTGTCTGGTAGGGAAGAGGAGGATTTCGTTATCCAGGGGTGATGAGCTGACTGGTATTCAAGGTAAAAGCTGAAATCCAGACTTCACAGTGACTAGCCAGTTTCAAGTCACAAAATTTTATTTCTCATCAAATACATTAGACAATCACACAGATGAACAACAAGACACACCAGTGTGGATGGGTGGTGTTTTTTTTTTCTTTCTTATATATAATATAAAAAAGAAACTATGCAGCCAAAAAGAAATTAAAAAAAAGAAAAGAAAAAACACAATACATGATTAAATGAGCGTTTAGTACAATGGTTCCCAACCTTTCCTCCTACACAGACCCTTGAAACTAATTGCCCCCTCACACACCCAGGCTGTCTTATATCGTTAACTGTCCATACAGCCTTGGAATAAATATATAAGAGGGGAAAAAAAAAAAAAAAAAACTTTAGGCTAGTTATACAAAATTGTAATCCATGCCACAGTCTATAACATCTCTAACTTAAGTGAGGATTTACAAAACCCACTGCTGCTGTCTTGTGAACCTTTAGTGGGCCAGGGATTCCAGGTTGAGAACCACTGGTTTAGTATATTTACTATAAAAAAAAAAAAAAAAAAAAAAAAAAAAAAAAAAAAAAAAAAAAAAAAAAAAAAAAAAAAAAAAAAAAAAAAAGCTGGCTAGTCACTGTGTTAGCTGGCAAAGGAAGCAAGAACCTAAAACACAAGTCAGATCTTATTGAAGTTTAAATTGCAGATCATTCAACATTTGAATAGTTTGTACGGTTTAGTGATCTTTCATTTAAAAGTTGTTATTGTTTATTTCAAGGCACTGCTTGGTATATTTAAAAAAAAACTAAAAAAAAAAAAAAAAAAACCATTGTATAGAATGATTTTTCCCACCCACATTAATCATTCTAGCTTACACTTTTCTAAAAAAATGTTTTAAAAATCCATTTGAAGAAAAAAAAAAAAAAAAAAAAAAAAAAAAAAAAAATAATTATTAAGAAAAAAAAAAAAAAAAAAAAAAAAAAAATCACCCCTGTTAAATATGAAAATAAAAGACTTCTGTAAATGGAACCAGCATTTTACTTTCACATAATTGCAGAACTCTTCTCTCTTTTTACTTAGGCAGTGAATTTAAAGTAAACCAGCAATTCACATGAGAAATCAAAAGGAACCAAAACAACATCAATAGAGGCAGGGGAAGAAGAAAAACAAAGAAATTTAAAAAAAAAAAAAAAAAAACTGCCATGAAATTGAAAACAGTAAATTAAAACAAAAAGGAAAAGGAAAATAATTAATTTTTTTTTTTAAATTAAAAGCAAAAAGAAAAAAAAAGAAAAAAAAAAAAGAAAAGAAAAGCAAAATGATTTAACAAACAAACATTTATATCATTCTTTTTACTTTTTTAGAGAATGACAAAATGAACAAAAGTCAATGTGATTTAAACAGGGCTCTCCAATCAAATCTCATAGGTTAAAAAATCAAATCAATAAAAGCCATCTGTAAAAATAAGTAACCCCTGACTACCATCTTTGTTTATTTTTAACATCTGGATACAATTCCAGGGTTTATGAGGGTAAAATTAGTAGTATATCTATTTGAATAATTTCTTTTATTTTAATAAATATATTTTGTAGATAGAATTAAAAATGAAAGATTTAATTGCCAATTATAATAATATAGGCAAAAAATAACATGTGCTTTCTGATGTTTAAAAAAGAATTAAGACCATTATACATAATAAATCTACATTCAATGAATTATATATAAACAAACAAATGCTAGACATTTAGATTAGCAATTTTAAAACAGGATGAAATCTTATTAAAAAAAATTAAAGATTTAAAATACTTTCCCAAGAAGGAAAGAACTCCTCGGGTTCTGTCAGCTGCATGTCATCTTACAAACAATCTATTTTGAGTATAGTTTTACCATTATGAATTTTTACTTTTAACACTTTTAATCTGTGAAAGCTTTCAAATGAGAAAATTTTGAGAAAAATGTTGCAAGTCAATTGAAGTTGGAAATCCTCTTTATCAGGCAAACAAAGAAACAATGTATAAAAAGAAAACAATTAATGGTCTTTGCTTTATCACATTTTTTTGACAATATTAGAAAAAAAAAAAAAAAAAAAAAAAAAAAAAGAAAAAAAGAAAAGAAAATTTATTCGCAACTAGAATTCAAAGTAATACCAGATTCATTTCGCAAGAGTAATATTTGTCATCATAAAAAGAAAAGAAAGAAAAGCTTTCCTATGTTCTGAATTTTATATTGGAGACAGTAAATAAGAAGGAAAATGGCTGTCAGTTATTTACTACTACTATGCATATAATATAATATTTTCATTAAATACAATAAATTTGAAAATAGTTCATTAGCTTTTCAAATGTCTTAAAGTCATAATTTCATTCCTGCCTCTAATGACATAATTGGTAATTGTGTTTGTAAATGTGTAATGTTGAGTTAATCAAGCCTACTTATTTTGGGTTCAACTTCACCTGAAAGAGAGAAAAGAGAGAGAGAGAGAGAGAGAGTTTGGGTGTCAATCTGAGGACAGTGCAAAAGATTCAGAAAGAGTTTGATTCGTCCAATTGTGATTACGCAGGTACGGAAGCTTGGAAAACTCACTCTAATCGTTCTGATAAGAAAAGAACTCCCGAATTTGTTGGTTAGATCCAGGCCATGATTGACATCAATCCTTCCAATTCAATTAGGTCCACAGCCAGGGAGACAAGAGTTTCTTATCGGGTAGGTAGTGCATAAAGACATTAGGTATTTTCTGACACAAGATATCAAGCCATAAAGAACAAGAGGAAAGACTGAGCTAAAAAAGATTTTGAACAACCTCAAGTCACCCCTTCAAATGAACATACTTTGGGTTTTCTCGGATGAGAAAAATTTCTGCTGCGGATAAGATGGTGAACACATAGAACAACTGTTGACTTTGCTGCATCCACAAAAGATGTACACAGAATGATGAAAAACAAATATCTAGTCAACATCATACCTCTATCTATTTTCTCACAGGGTCTCAGACTCAACACAAAGGCTTACATCAAGGACCTTGTGGAGGTAGTGCTACCCTGGGTAAAGAGGGTGACTGCTGAAAGACTATGTCTGGCAACAGGACTCTGCACCATGCCACACAAGCAGGAGATCCCAGTCATGGCTGTCAGACAATTTCTGCAATCACATCACCCCTTACATTGGGCCACCTAACTCCCCAGACTGCAACCCCCTTATTATGTGTGGGGCGCAGTTGAGCGAGATACCCACAAGACTCTTTGTAACACCAAAGACGAGCTGAAAGCAAGGATTATGGCAGCATTTACCAACTTAAACAAGGAGACCGTCCAGAAGAGTTGCAGGAGATTCTGAAGTTGTCTGGAAGCCATGATCGAAGCCAATGGCAATTTTACTGAATAAATTTACTGTTTAGTATTTCAAGAAATTTTTGTGTAATTTTGGTAAATATATGTTAAAATGAGGTGTCAATGTTATTTTCATTTTTGTGTAATTTAGATGACAAGTGATCTATTGCACCTCAATCATTCATTCATACAATTTAATCTATGAAAAAAAAAGCAATATTTGCCAAAAGGAATGGTTAAATAAAGTGTGCAATACAAGTCCCACCACTGAAATTTCTTTCCCCATTTTGATTTTAATTTAAATTAAATTTGAACAATTGAACATGTCAAAAATGAAAAAGAGATTTTTGACATTTTAATATTTGAAAGCATCATTCCACAACATGCTTGTATCTCATAATTCTGCTGTTGGTCATGATGGTAGGGCATAAATGTGGAATAAAGAAGCTATACACTAAATGTAACTAACATTCAAACTAATTTCAAGGCTTTTATTCTGCATTATTAATACTGATAATTAAATTAACAATTGTCATATGGGGTTGGCAATACCCAAATAAATCTTTTACTCACAAAATTGAAAAGCATTGTCACTGGCTTTAATCATCCACAGATTATGAAATATCAAAATTGCATTTGTAAGCTTTTTAAACTGGACCATCTCATTGAAAGAGGAGATGTTTGAATTTAAAATAGTCATCCCAATCATTTTACAAGAAAGTAGTAATAATTCTTTATTATTAATTGAATCAACTGGAGAAGCTAGTAGAAGTGCAATTTTTAAAAATTATTTCTACAATGCAAATGCAACATAAAACCCGATTAGAGCAAATGCATTAAGAAAACATCACAGTTGGCTAATCTAATTGAAATAATGAGGAATCAATCAGTTTTGAAAGCATTCTTATTTCCTAAAGTGAGTCATGTGTAACGACCTCTGATTGAATAACCTGAGCAAATTTGTCATCTATAACTATTATCAAATGTCTATTCAATATTGTGTCCAACTATTTCAACAAGATGACAATATTAAGGCATGGCATCCTTTTAATAACGTGTAAACCCTTTTGCTTACATTCACTTGGGGGAAGAAAAAAAAAAAAAAAAAAAAAAAAAAAAAAATCAATATTTTTTTCAGCTTATATTTGTGTATGGAGCTTCACATTTAGATGCTGATAGTGCAGCTTTGGTGGTATGCAATCCACTGATCTCTGCCAAATTCTCACAAAAAGAGGGAGTGGGGAAGCAAATTCATTCCATCAAAAATATTTTTCATATGCCATTTGCAAAAAAGTTCAAAATACTAACTGAACTAACTTTGATAAGCAAGTGATGGAATGGAAAAAGGCCCAAAGTGACGCATATGACCCGAAAAGGAAGTTCTTAAGATTAGTAATGGTTTTATTGATGTACTCAATCGCTCTTCTTTTTTTTTTTTTTTGTCTGTGCTTGTGTGTGTGCATATAAAAATTCAGGTATAAATATATCTGTAAAGACAATATAATAAGTAAGAGAAAAGACAAGGAAACGCATTTCATTACTTGAGAAATTTTATTAAGGCAAATGTAGAAATTTTATTTAGTAACATGTATTCATACACAGAAGTAATGTGTGGAAAAATAAAATGATGTTAAGTTTTCAAATTTTGAATTTGAGAACACTAAGATATTCTAAAAGTAGCCCAGTAAATTACTAGAGTTTAGCAGATTGAAATGCAAACAGAATTTTGTAAATAAAATTCAATAGGCCACCAGCAGTCAATAGATAAAGAAAAGTTCAAAAGATTTTCAAGAAAATTTCACAGGCACATCATACATCAGTGTCAGATAAATCTATTGAATTTAATATTTTCATCATCAAATATAGTATTTTAACTCAGTAAATGTGAAAGATTACAGGATTCAGCATGGAAGGTAAAAAAAAAAGTTCTTTCAGGTGATGAAAAGAGAGCAGCTTCATTTTGGAGGCATTAAAATATTTTAACAAGTCATTCATTGCTCCAGTTAACAACAGATTGTGGGTCATTTTTGAGATCAGCTGCCAATTTGACTTACTATTAAAACAGGAGTAAAAAAAAAAATGTATCATCAGCATAAATACAGAGTTGAGAACTGGTCATTTATGAAAATTAGGAACAATGTAGGTCCAAGGACAGAGCCCTGGGGAACACTTGCATTTATGCAAAAAGATCTAGAAGAATGGCTATTCAAGACAACTTTTATTTCGTGATTTGATAAGACAGACTGAATCAGTTTCAAAATTCGTCCAGAAATACTGTGAACTTTCAACTTGTGAAGAAGTCTAGTATGCTAAATCCCTTCGAGATGCAACATCCTGAGCTTCACCATTCTTATCTAAAGCTTGATAGACTTTTTCAGCAGTAAATCAACAGATCAGCAGTTGACCTAGAGATGCAAAAGCCATATTACTTACTTACTGAAAGAAGACCATGCAAGGTGAGATGCTTAACCAATTGAAATTCCAAAAAGAGGTAAAAGTCTAATAGACTGACAGAAGGATCCAGCTTAGAGATGATACCAGAAACCATGGATGAGTTATATGCATATCACTCCATAGAGACTCAGCTCAAAGTGGAAAGTCGGATAAATATACTCCAGATTAGTCAAGAGTAGAATTTACGAGTAAGACATTTTGCTTTATCAGCAGAAGACGTTAACACTTCAAACTGAGTGAAGAGAGAAGAGATAGAAGACTTACTATTACAGAGCTGCTAGTAGTCACATGAACCAAACTTGTAAGAAGTTATATGGTAAACATGGAAAAAGAGAAGGTACAAATTATTTATTAGTGGACACTGGTCAACAGCAAGTGGCAACAATCTGTTTCATGCTTGAATGTGATCTTCAGGCAATGTGTGTTGGGTGGTAGTTTGACTATATATATCTGCTGGTCAATGAGGTATAATGAGTAGCAACATCAGGTATTTCAGGTTTATCGTGTTATCCCAATGTTTATTAGATAGGCAGGTACAGATATATTTTAAATTATTCTAAAGGTTATTGAGTAGAAACAATTATGGACCAGAATGTTGTCCTTTTATAGCTATTGTATAGGGTTGTTTGCAGATTTAATTCATTATTGATTATTGCTGTATCTTGTGTTTTCGAGATAACAGGAAAATAAATAAGGAAGACAAACTCATAGGTAAGTAATGAAATAGAAGGTTTACTACATGAAAGTACACTTAGCAATTGCCCTAATGCTAATTCAGCTCAAATCAAGCTTATTTACATAAACGGATGATTCCATTCATTTAGGTTCTATATGACAATTATTTAGAGCATTTTGTATTTATTGTTGTTTATTATTATTATTAAATTTACTTAATTATGATTATGTATGCATTTGTACTTTGTTAAATTGTACTTCATTTACTTAATTTGTTTATCTAATCCCCACCCCCTTAGTGGATCGATTATCTTATTTGTTTAGTTTAAACTATTGGCTTTGTCTAAAGTATATTGCATTATCTGTATTGTATATAGTGCATAGATTTGCATTTTTCTTGATGATATTTTACAAGGTACCCAGTTTTGATTTTTTAAGTAACACAGTAAAATTTTTAGTAATTTTGTGTTGGTCTGGGAAGGTGATGATTGCTATTTTCTCCTCCAGACAAACCTTACAGTTTTTGGATTTACTGTTGTAGACTGCCGCTGCTTTCCTTAAATTTTTTGGTGTATTTTGGATTTTGTTTTTAAGTTTCCATACATGTTTAGCAAGAGTTGCGCTGTTCGTGTATTGCCTATTGGTAAAATATGTCTTGCATTCATAGTTTCTGTTTCCAGTGCTCTACATTTATTTTTTCTTCATTATTTGCTGTTTTTAGTGGCTTGGCATATTATATTGTTTTGCAAGCAATTGCCATTCAAGGGACATTCATGCTTTGCAGTTACAGATGAGTTTGGTTTGTATACATTTTCTGTTGTGACTTATTTGTTTCATGTTCTTGGTGCAACTGTAGCTGATTTTTACTGTTTGTGTTGAATATCTTGTGGAGCATGCTTCATGTGGGGGAAGTGTTTCTGGATGACTTTAATGAATAGTTTTCTTACATTTTCTTTTATATTTTTGCTGTATGGCCAGTTAAATCATTTTTTTTTTTTTTTGATAATGTGGGGTGTGTATGTGTGTATTACTGAAAACTCACTATCTTTTAGAGCTATTTCATAATCTTTTCTTTTGGCTTTGTTCAAGATGATTTCATTAGAAGAATTATCAGATAACAAAACAAAGTCAGCTAGAGAAGTTTTTTGAACTTTTATATATGGTGAAGGGAAATAAAATAAGCAATAATTGCAGCTTACATTGAAAACATTTTTAATTTAGATTCCTAGTGCATCATTTAATGCTAATGACAAAGAGGAAAGCTATGATGACCATGAGGTGCTGAATGGCTACTATCATCCATGGGTGACTAATTTTATGGAAGCTACTGACCCCATGGATGCACCTGATAGCCTTTCTGAAGGTGAATTACTTTGTCTATTTATAAATGACAAAAAAAATAACCTTATTTGTCAACAAGGCAAATAGATATGTTAGTCAGGTGAAAGAAAGAGTAAGCAAATGCTGGTGTAAACACATGAAATGACATCACTTTTGATGAAATGAAAGCCTTCTTTGCCATTTTGCTTCTTACTGCCTCCCATAACTCCACAAGGAGTCAGAAAAGTTAAACTCATCATCTCATCAACCCCTGAAAATCTATTAGTAAATGTTTCATCCAATACTCTTGATGAATTGGACAGCATTTTTATTTTTAACTGAGTTTCAACAGATTCCATTCATATTCTACCAGCAAAGCAGATCAAGTGGTGGTGACAAAGAAAAAAAAAGAAGAGTGAATCTAATGTCTTTTATAAAATTGCTTTGACCTATTTTTCAGTTTCCTCAAACTGGCAATAGAATTGCTTTTCTAATTAGATCTTAATTACAATATCTAATTTCTTATGCAGTCTTAGGAATAAATTTGTACAAATAAAACATAAGTAATAAAGTTAAAACTCAAACACCATTGTATTTATCAATAACTGTGCCTCTTGCTACAAATTTAATAATAGTAGCAATGATAGTGTAAAACAGCACTATTTTTTTTCTTCTTTTTAAACAAAATAACGGAAAACACAGTATCAGGAAACTAAATTTTTTAATTTTATTGCATAATTTACTCCCTCCTCCTTCAACTATACAGTATCGAGTATGAACATTTTTTTTTTTTTTTTTAAATCTATTTCGTTGGCTTTGAAACAAAAAAATATATACTTTATTCAGACTTAATGGAGAACACTGTAACACATGACGAAAAAAAACAAAAAAACTAACAAACAAAAGAAACTGGAAATGGAAAAATGAAAAGAAAGTGAAGGTAAAAAAAAAAGTCACTTACCTTTCGGCTGTATCTCATGTAAGGCATAAGTGGCTTATCTGGAGGTTTGGGTGGTTTCGGTATTTTGGCATCATTCTTGACAAAAGGCAACAATACTTAAAAATTAATCAACTTACATGGAATTTAGACAAATATATAAAAATTGCGTGTGTTCATTTTCTTAATATTACCATGAAATGATTACATTATAAACTATTTTTAAGAGGCAGAGAAAGACACTATTAAAACAACCATTTCCTTCCACTATTTATTCAATGCTTCTGTAAAAAAAAAAAAAAAAAAAAAATGCAATTCATAAAGTGAATCATGTAAACAATCTGAGGCTAAGCATGAAATGTTATTTTGAAAATAATCTAAGATGTTTCCAGAAAATGAACCCTAAAACTTTTCTAAGGCAAACAATAAAGCCAATCAACCTGGCCAGAAATATATATATTATATATTATTAGTCCACTAAAAAGTGTATGCATACTACTAGAAAGGAAAAACCTGCCCTCTATAGTTTTGTCAATATTTTCTCGACATATGGCATTATATTGGCAGCCCTTAAACAAGAAATTAAAAATGTGTGGGCATCAATATCTCACTGGACACTTTAGCCAACATTGCCCAAGCAGTCTACCATACTAATGTGTGGAAGCTAAAGGCCAACACTGTGAGCATCTCTTGTGGGTGTCAAGTTCAAAGGTAACTTTTATTAATCTCGATAAATTTAGTATTGTATTATCTACACAATTTTGTTCCTTTCCTGAAGCACGTGTATAAACATACATACACACACACAAACAGGCATCAAGTTTATTGCTTTTTGTACCACCTCCTACCCCCAATATTTGGCATGAGCAAGCCAATCAATCAACTTCCTAATGTTGATAGAAGAAACATTACAATTTAAATGTTGCAAGAGGTCTTATCAAATACAGTTTTATAATGTCAAAAATCATTTTCTCTTGCATCTGGGGGAAAAAAAAATTCTTTCTCCAATAAAATCTGAACCCTAATTGTTTGAGTAAAAATTCTATAAAATAGAATTTTTTCCCTTAAGTCATAAAAGACAGGCATATTCTTCATTATGAGACAAATGAAAATAAGAACATCAAATTTTGTCAAGTAATTTAGTCAGATAATCAGACAATATTATACTTAATCTATTAATACTGAGAGACAAAGAAAAATATCACATCTAGTTCATTTTTTCACACAACCCCATTTATTTACTATTTCTCAGTAATGTTTCTTTGTCATGATAACCACTTGAAAAATCTCTATTATAAATGTTCATTTCAGAGAGAGAGAGAGAGGAGAAAAAAAAAAGAAATGAAGAGTAATTAAAACAGACCACAGGCATTGTAGAGATTGTTGAGAGATATGGTCAAAACAGCATCGTTCAATTCAACACAGATCTAATAGGTATTATTAAAATATTTAGATTATAAAAAAAAAGGTCCATTGTATCAGATTGTTGAAATCTGAAGAACTTACCAGAAATTACTCAATGGCAGCAACTATTAAAGTTTCACTTCCTATGAAGCATTCAAATTATTTCACTACACAATTATTATTCTAATATATCCAAACCATTATTGTTACCAGAAATACAACAGTGGGCACCCCGAGGTGGTGTATTGGTTAGCAAGCTTGTCTTGTTAGAACAGTAGTGAGTTCAATACTCACTGGGTGCGCCCTACATTTGGCCTTGTGCCATATCTAAGCTACGCTTGGAAAATCACTATTAGAAATACAACAGTGAGAAACTAGATTCAGTAAGATCAATTTCTAATGACAAAATGCTAGTATCAAATAACAATCCTTATTTTTTTTAAGTCAAATATGATGAGAACATTAAAAATGCTGTTTGATTTAAATATACATTTAAATCAGTATCAAAAAACACAATGAAAAAAAATGTAGAAAAAAGTTCTTCAAAATATGCATTAAAAAGGTAAACAATCACAAAGAAAAGAATTGCAGTTTGGTTACTCTGGTATCAAAAACCAATGACAGACTGAACCAGAAGGGTTGTCATCATCAAACAGCTTGGTCAATTTATTTATAAACACATTAAAAAAAAAAAAAAAAAAAGAAAAAAAAGAAAGACTAGATGAATCACAGGGGGAAAAAAAAATTTGTATAAAATGAGAGTCTATCGAATGAAAGACAACAAACAAATAAAAAGAGAGCTTTCATATTATATTAAATTTTTAAATCAATTTTCATTTTGTTTACTAAGAAATGATACTTATGGTTATTAAACAATATTTATCAAGTTATTGCAAATACATTCCAGCTGTAGCATCTGGTGTTGCAAAGCCCGACTTCATTTGTCAAACCTTTTTCAACCAAAGGAAATTTTGCAATAAGAAAACAGAGCAGTTTTTAGGCTATTTTATTGATTTTATTTAAAAGTGAAAATAAAAAAATCAGTTGCTTGTAGCATAAGTGCATACATCCTATTAAGGAGATAGGTTCTTTTTTTTTTTTTTTTTTTTAAATCCCTTTGCTTTTTACAGGTGAATCCACAATACATTGTTTGAATGTGGAAGATTTTCAGCACTAAGCAAAAGCAGCCTTTGATATATTCTTGTAAGCAATACATAGATATTGATGAGCAAATCAAAGACATTGATAAAATAAACATTAAAATATTCAGATAAAAATCATGGTCAAGAGATAGATAAATTTGGCAATTTAAAATTAACTTTTCACAAGTAATTCAGGTTATGTAGTCTTTTAATTTAGAAACAAAGAGAAAATGATTATATATATATATATATATATATATATATATATATATATATATATATATATATATATATATATATATATAGAAAGAATCCCAATCCCAGTGAGGGGGGATAGCAAGTGAAGATTGAGAAAACCAAGAGTGAATTTATTACAAAGTCTGTCAAGATGAATGAAAGCAAATCAAAATCATGATGAATGTCCAACAGGACTGAGGTGCAAACTGGCATACACAGGATCATTGCCTGTAATTTGGCAAATGCAGAACAAAATGGGTGTTTTGTAGTGAAGATACAATCTAAAATAACAGTGTCAGTGAGGCAGCATATTGCCTAGGCCACAGCAAGGAAAGGCTGGGGGTTAGGGTTCATTAAGGATGGGGCTCAAGGGGGGAGAGTAACATGGGATTTGAATATCAGGAGATAAAGCTGGTGATTGTGTTTTGTCAAGAGAACCAGTGACTTCCTAACCTTCTTGCCTTTTTTTATTTTGTTTTTCAAGGGGTTTAGGGGAGAAGGAGCTTGGAAATTCCTGGAACCTTTTTGTTGTGATTTTTGATGCAGAATAATTTCTCATCCAAAAAGGTTATATTTTAAGAAAAAATGCAACTGCAGACAATACAAGAGTTTTTTTTTCTTTAATCTAAGAACTGCATCTGAAAAGGGAAACATTTGAAGAATATAGCTTTCAAAAACATTATTGGTTCACTGAAATTAGAATTTATATATTCTAAGATAAAAATCAAACCAAAATTATAGTTAATCCAAATATTAATCTTTCATATTGATTTTCTATCAGGACGAAAGGAGGGTCACTTTAATAGAAAAGCTAATATTATGCATTCAAGCATCCCCCCTCACAAATGAACCAAACATTTATGCAAACGAAAAATAATGAAATCCTTAATCAGATTTACAAATGGTTTAAAACTGAAAAAACTCGGCTGTGCTTTTATTTCTGTCTTAACCACAATTAACTGTTTAGCTTTAGTTTCCATTTCTTAATAATAAATTTCTTGTTTTCTCTGTAATTTTAGAGTTTCATTAATTCTCTGAAACAATTATATTATCTCCAAGTATTCTTATAATTAAGATATGAAGAAAATGTGAATATTATCCATTTTTATTTGAACATTTTTTGGTAGCTGGGTGGGTAGAGGTAAGTGGATCTAAATCAACAACTCTTGTAAAGTCCTAAGAGAATGCATATCAAAAAGGCAAGTGGTTGAATAAAAAAAAAAAAAATTAAAATTAAAAAGCATTGCTCAATAGCTGCTACAATTTGGTTGATTAAAAAAAGCAATCGTTAAAAATGATTGAACATGTACCTGAAATTGTTTCAAATTATGGATTGTGGTTGATAAATCAGACTATTCTTAACATAAAAAAAGCCATTTCATTCATAAAAATTTGCATTCATCCAAAGCATTTAGCTAAATAGTAGCAGCTATATTTGGAAATGTTGAGAAAAAAAAAAAAAAAAAAAATATGAAGCAAGCTGGCTGTCTTCACTGACCTGTTGTTACACTTACCAAATGTTTATCATTGGACCTTTTTGTAAAGCTCTACAAACAAAACAGGAAAAGTTTGTAACTTAAATATACAAGACAAAAATTATAAGAAATCATCTAATTTAGAAAAAGGAACACAAAACCTAACAGAACTAAAAATGGTCAAAGTCATATGCAAGACGAATAAAAAAAAATTCTATTTCAGGATATCTTCACCACAAAACATTGTAGATTGAATTGCAACATCCAATTATTATCTTTGTGTGGGAAGAAGAAATACATAAAAAAAAAAAAAAATTGTAAAAATCAAAGATTACAGGATTGTTGTTAAATCTAACAAAGCATTTTCTAAAAGTAACAGTTAAGAATTTTGAAGTTAAAAGAGATGACATCTACAGCATAGCAAAAAATATCTTGAAATTATTTTGGCTTTTATATTTCTACACATCTATTTAAGCAAGGATTATTTTCTTATAATTTGTGCAAGAAATTGACTTTCTCATAAAATGTACTAATTTAACAACTTTAGCCATCTTACTAAAGTCGAGCAAATAAAACATTGTAATATATTCAGCAACATTAATTAGTAATGAAGATTTTCTGTTTCAATTTTCATTGTAATAATGTTATTTTGTTTAATAGAGAAATTTTTCATCTTAATCAGTATTCATATCTATGTGCATGGATAAGACATTTTGGAAATATCACCCACCCCCCTGCTCTAATCATTATTACTAGCTATTAAATGGAAACTTGTTGCACTACAAGTAGAGAGAGGAAAAAATTCTGTAGGTCAATATCTTTAGGTTGACTTTCAGTTTTATCCCTCCAACATTAATAACTGCAACATGTTAGAATTACAAGCAGAGATTTTTTTTTTTTTTTTTAGATAAACAATACTTAGATAATTCCTGGTTTTATAAGTTATTTTTACAGTGCATCTTCTGAAGAGATGATATAAAATATGAAGTGTAATTGGTGCCACACTCAAAGCTTCTCTACTTATAGACACAAAGTGAGAGAGAGCAAAAGTTGAAGTTACAAGTTTCATTATTCTCAGTGTAGTTTTGAATATTGTACATTTATAAATAATAATAAAAACTAAAAATCACAGAAAAAGAATAAGGATGGCACTGGTTTACAGTTTATGAGAAAAGTGAGAGGAAAATTATTTAATCAGTTTTTCATGCAAGAATCTGTACTAGTTCGTCATGAACTGCCATTTTCATATCCAATGCGTCATTGTAAGGATCGAGTATAGCAAAGAAGCAAAGCTATTTTTATGTCAGCAGGTCTTTCAAATCAAAAAGCCTCCTGGGGTAAGCTGGTATTAAATATCTGCCAAAATACCTACTTTCTAACAGGATTATTTACCAAATCAGGTAAGGTGACTATCTGTGTGCGTGGTGGTGGGGAGAAGCAAATATTGGATGTGACAAAAACTAATGTTACGGCAAAACTAGTAACGGGCAAAGCTGACATTTATGTTGTATCAAACATCATTTTTTGTTATACACAAACACATTTAATAAATTTTTAGCATTTGGTTAGATTGTTCAATGCATTTTGTTTTTACTTATATTTTTGATTAACTATTAACAGAAAAATTAAAAGCAAAAGAAAAAAAACTTTGAAACTTATGCATCTACGATATCTTAATAAATAAAAAGCATAAAAAAAAAAGCCAATAAACCAAACAAACTAAGTTTACATACGTACTCTAATTCTTATTACGAATTTGAAATAGACAAAACTTACCGATTTATTTTTGCTATTATTTTTACCTTGCATGATCAACAATGGGAAAATGAAAACAAAAGCAATTTCTTTATGATAAGTACAGATTTGAAAATGATTTTGTTCCCCACCAAGCTGCTGTGATGCTGGCCTCAGTGGTTTAGTCTGTCATCGAAATTAATCGACAAAGACACCACATATGAGGATCACTACTTACTATAGCTTTGGAGCCAACACGGACAGGAGTGAAAGAAGGATGGCCTTGTCCACTAAAGTAAAATGGACTATTGCTGGACGAAGATGAACCCTGTGAAGTTTGCAGAAAACAGCTAATCATTAGAATTTGGGGGCAATTAGCAATTAAAAGTAATTTAAAGAAAAATAAACAAAAGAAAATTTACAAAAAACAAAAACATTGAAAGAATAATATTTAAGTAGCATTATTAACAGAAAAACAAAAAACAAAACAAACAAAAGAGTGAACATCATTAAAAATGTTTGAGACAAATTTAATCGCTGCTGTTGTTCAGTATACAATTTTTATTCATAGTTTCCACAGTGATTAACTAAAAATATCAACATTCCCATTCTACATAGAAAATATCTATGACCGAACAAGAAAACAATTTAGATTGTATGTTATTTAGTTTAAACATTCATATTTGGTTCAAGTCTGCTTCTCATAATATGTAGATTTAATAGGCTTGTTAATAAAAATTGAATAAAAAGCCAACAAAATGATACCAATAGTGTCAATAAAATTGATATTCTACATTAACCTTCTGACTGAAATGAAGCATAAAGAGAAAGATTATAATGTCTGATTTTTCCAACATGCTTGTGTTCTTTTTTTTGATGATGCAAGGAATAAACAAAGAAGTGTGACACTTGCTCTTCCAAGAAATGTTGTTGGTTAAAGCTCTCTCCCTATGGACATTACACTCTAAGGAAACCCAAATCCCTGTTTAATCCCTCCATGATTTAATTTATTTTCAAAATAAATTTCAACTCTGATCTGTGCCTTTCTTCTTGGATGTTGGTATCATTTTGTTGACTTTTTATTTTTCAAATTTTATATTTTATTAACTGGCTTATTAAATCTATATATTATAAGAAGCACATGTGGACCACCTTTCATTTTAATCATATATATACGTGTGTGGTTTTTTTGCCCAAAATGGTTAAATGGTAATTTTAAAATAGTTACAATAAAAGCATATGGGAACTTTGATCACCCATCGTCATTTTGGTAAAAGCAAATTCTTTCTTTTCACATAGAACTGTGGCTTCTTTAAGTCATTGATATTTTGAAATCCTTTAAAGAGTTCACTTTCTTACGGTCAAACCTATTAAAGTAACATCACCGAAGTGTCATCTCCACAATTTGCTCCGATAACTGAAGGGCATCCAAGCTAAAATTTACCTAAATAAGATTATGATAGGTTGAATTTAATCAATGAAAATAGTACTTATATTTTTGGACATAACAATAAAACATATTGTCTTTTACAGTGCATCTTCTGAAGAGATGATATTAAATGTGGAGTATAATTGGTGCCACATTCAAAGCCTCTCTACTTATAGACACAAAGTCAAAGAGAGCAAAAGTTGAAATTACAAGTTTCATTATTGTCAGTGTAGATTTGAATCCACAACCAGTTCAAATTCACACATAAAGCAGCACCTTACAAGACAAAAACATGATAGTAAAATGTAAGAAAGATCTGACAAAAATTTTAAATTGTAGTTATGTAGAATTTTAACATTTATTTTCACCAATGGGAGATGCTTGAGTAAATTTTGATGAAGTAAGATATGGCAAAAGATATATAATAAATAAGTAAATTTGACAAAAACAACAAAATTCTTACAAACAGAAAAAAACTATAAGGAACCTTAAATGGCTCAAAGAGAAGCAAATGGAGTAAAAAAAAAAAAAAAAAAAAAAAATTAAAATCATATACTTTTCCTTCTGATGGTGCCTGCTCAGTGATATTTAAAAGATTCAAATTTTCGGGTAAAATGTTTATGATGATACGAAAATGTTTAATTATCTAAAACTTGACACATTTGTGTCTGTGACTAGCATTAATTTATTTCAATATCTTTTGGCTTTTGAAGATAAAGTTCTGCTAAAAAGGACAATTAAATAAAAAAAAAAGAGTAAATAGCAGGCCTAATGAAATGTGTTCATGACAATAAGGGATTTTGTTATTTATTTGAAATAAACAAAATAGTGAAAAAGCATTCCTAAATTAAGAATTTTTTTTTTTTTTCTTTAACATTTATTCACCACCAAAAGGCAAAAGTGTATTATAGAGTTGAAAATCTTCTAACATTATGGCTTAAACATGAAGTATTTTGGGAGTTCTTGTCAACAGAACAACATAAATTGATAATTACTCTTTTATGAATTCATTCAGAACAGATCATAATAATTATACAACTCTTAACACAAAATTGAAATAAAAAAAAAAAAAAAAAAAAATCATTCAATGTTTGATATATTTGTCAAGAATTTAATCAACAGGGATTATGTTTGTTGTATTTAAATCCTCAATGCATCACATTTACATTTTAACCACTTATTCCTTCATTTCTTGGTTAATTTCTTTTGTCAAATTGAGATTAAATATCAATAGCTAACAAACAATCATTACATGTTGAGAAAGCATAAGTTTACCAATAATTTCTTTTTGATACAGATACAAATATCAACAGAAAGATTATGAGAAATTATGAGTATTATTAAAGTTAAATCATAAATTTGAATGGTCAATCAGGAAGTTTATATTTTTCTTGACAAATATAATAATCTTTTACGTACCCCACCAGAGGAGCCAGACTGTCCAGAGTTGGAATAATTGCGCCCAGAGCGTTCTGTTAAAAACAAACATAACACACACAAAAAGATTAAAATATTATGACAGAGATGAACAGAAGATCAAGTGCTTTGTAATAACTGAAAGTAAAAACAATTTGCTGTACATTTTCTTTTTTGGCAAAATACTAAGTTTCAAACACCACCCAAAGAAGAGCCAAAATTTTGTCTTTAATGATGGCTATTTGTACTTGACTGACATGCAAGTATATTATGCTGCTATTCTATATGAGCTCAAAACTTAAATCAATTAATAAAAATGAATTTTTAGAATCCAAATATTTTACATAGAAAATTGTGCACATTTACTGTCAAAGTTTATTTTCATGTATATATTAAAAAGTGAGATCAAAATGACTATAGATTCAAAAAATCATTTGGTTATTGTTGCTATCAATGTGACAAAAAAGAACAAAAAGTTTTTAATGAAGTTCAACTAAAACAGTGAATTCAAAGCCATTATGAGAAATATGTTTAAGCAATTAATGATAAAGTTTTTTTCTTTTTAATGTTTTTTGACAAGTAAAATAAAAAGAATGAAATCAATTGGAAGACAACACTGAAATCTAGTTTTGGGTGAACAACTATTCAGAACAGAATTTTTGTAAAATATTATCAAGATGAAAAATCACGACAAGTTTTTGTAGCTGTTTAAAATTTTATCTTTCTGATTAAATGAATTATAGTACAAAATGTGCTTGAAAGGCTAAACTCTTTTCAATGAACTTTGCCTCAGATCCCACAATATACAATTATTCCCATCCTTTACCTGATTTCCTTTCTCTTGTGGAGCATCAACTTTGAGACTGTGCTATCTTGCCTTCCAGATTTATCAAAATCCTTGATTCTATGAAAGGTACTGACCTAAACAAAAATTCCTGTAGCAATATTTAAGAACTATAACCCAGATTATCTTCAATACTGGAAAAGTTGTTTAACCATTGCCTGAAAAGTGAAATGTTTCCCAAGCCGTGAAAGTTGCCAGCTGTTTGCCATTTTAAAGAATGCTGGTAAGCAATCAACTCCATTGTGTTATTGTCCAATCAGCCTCTTAGTGTCATTAGGAAATTCTTTGTTCTCAACAAGGGTGGAGTCAATCTACTTCAAACTACTTTGAATATACGCATGTTAGCACTAGAGGGCGTCACCAGTGATGTTCTGATTTGGATCATTGGGCAGTTTCGGGTCTTTCAACATCATACTGCCCTCAACTAGTCAACCCAATCAGAGTTGATCAGTCTCTGATCTACCCTCTAAATGCAGACACTGACTTATATTAGGAAAACCATAACCCGCTATCACACATTTGATTGGAAATTGACCAACAGCTAATCACATTGGTGTGAACTCTATTTAAATTGTTTTTCCTTTTTTTAAATTGTGTGGATACCCTATCACTGGGTACTCGCAAGTCTTGCCAGCTAATGGTTACTGTTAATAAAAAAAAAAAAAAAAAAAAAAAAAAAAACACAAACACAGCCATAAAATATCTAAAAATTTACATTTTTACGATTAAAATAAATAAATTACAACTCATGCAGTGTGTAAAGTGAAAATAAATATATAAATATTGTTTAAAACATTGAACGAGCAAAGTTAGAAAATTAGTTTAAAACTATCAATTAACATGTTAAATTAACGTATGAAATTAACAATTAAAATTAAATTTACGTTTTTAGATAGTTACGAAAAAAACAAACAAAAAACCAAAAAGAAACTAAAACAGAAAGAGGGGTGAGCAACATTGCTAAGTAAGTCATTTAACAAAGAATTAGTCACAATTAATTATAATTCACATATAGTCCAATAGTCAGCTCTTTTAAAGTTATATTAATCTCATTTTTTTTTTATCATTAGGCAGTATTTTAACAGTAACCAGGAAACGTCATCAGTGAAAGAGTAATATTAAAGAATGAATGTCAAGAAAATTGCTAAAAATCAGACATTAAAATGTACAGAAACCAAATACACATGCATTAATTTAAAAAAAGTAAAAGAAAAAAAATTCTTTACAGAGAAAATACTTCAAGGGGATACTGATAAATCACTTATCTCCACAAACACATATCAACATGTGGATAGCTACCACTAGATATGAATAAAAATGTCTATTACACACACACACACACAAACGCTGCCTTACAATATAAAAAATGTATGTGAAGTCTGCTTAACCATTGAAAAAGTAATGACACAGAAATTAAAAATACCAAAGTTTTTCTTTTTCTTTCCAAATCTCAGTCTCTGATGAAGCTTTTAATAAAGGAAAACTGTAAGATTTATAAATGTTTTCCTATTTATTCCTTTTTATATATACACACACACAAGACCACAACAAAATGCTAAATTACCTCATTTGGGGATAGATCTATTCCAGCCAACACTGAGGATGTTGATCATGTTCAACCCCAGTGAATGGACTGTATTCACCTCTGAATTAGACACTTAAAATTTAACTTTGACAGCAGCCAAAAAATTGCTGCAGAACCTACCCATTTGGACACCTCAGCCAGATAAAATACCAGAGTTGGTGGTAAGGGGAGGCTGCAAGGTATTAGTTTTAAAGGGAAGAGGCTCTATAAAATCAACCCTGAATCAAGTCAATTTTTCAAAAGAAGTAATGGATTTTTATTAATCTGACAATCACACACACATTATATATATATATATATATATATATATATATATATATATACACACACACACACAATTATACACACACACACACACATTACACACACACACACAATTATACATATACACACACACAAATTATACATATACACACACACACAATTATACATATACACACACACATTATATACACACACACAATATATACATATACACACACACACACACACACACATATACATACACATAATTATACATATATATACACACACAATAAATATATAAATGGAAGGTTTGTTAACATCTGTAAATATCTTGTTTTTGAGGTTTTTACATGTAGAAATTGCTAAAAGTCGAACCCAGTGGTGAACCCATGGAGACACCATCACGTGTGTGTGTGTGTGTATATATATATATATATATATATATATATATATATATATATATATATATATATATATATATTATGATCTAAGAAAGGGACTTCAGTAGTACAAGCTAATAGTATACACGAGTTTGTTGTTGCTTTGAAATTTTTCAGAATATCATTATTGTTTCTAGATCATGTGTTGTTTGATATATTGAAATGTAGGGTACTTGTTGGATCGCTAAAAAAGAGCATAGCATGATTAAAAAGACGCCAAAGTTGATGAAAACAAAATTTTCAAAAGTCTAAATGCTTATGTTACTTTTTAGAGGAAAGATCAAAGTATTTTTTACTTATTTTTAAATTTTTCCTTCTTTTTTTAGAACATTGTAAATTTTGATTAAAAGACCTTGTTTCTCTTTTTATCAGCTTGGCTTGATAAATTAACGATAAACATTTGGGCGCGTTTTTTCCGTTTGACACACATTAATTTGGAAAATCTTGCAAAAATGAAAATAATTGTCGGATTTTAATGAAATTTTCAGAAACTATTTACAAATGATGGAACTTATTATAAATACATTTTTTTTAGTAAAGTCATCGCAGAAATTTTTTTTTTTTTATATGTATTTACCCACTCTAACTAATTGTACTGAAAAACTATAATTTCAATTCCGAGGAGTTTAGTGATTATATCAGTTAAAAGCACAATTTTAATGCTTTGAGGAAACAAAATCATGTTTTTGTTTTTTTTTTTTTATTGGAGCCCTTCTACCTGAAAAATCGTCTCTGAAGTGTAACATACAAAAACTCAATAAAACAAAAAATATTATTTAATTTCAAAAGCTTTTAATTGCTTTTATTTATTCCAATAAACATGGACAATATTGTCTGAAAGCAAAAAGATATTTCGATGAAAATGAATTTTTAAAACAATTAACAATTATTTTTTATTTCCGAACCATTGTTTTTATTTTTACATTATGTTGTTAATTCTTCTAAAATTATGGAAAAGTGCGTACAGCTTAACGGATGTTGTTTTTAAGTAGATATATATTTACAGATTATAATTTCCAAAGCTTATTACAAACTAATGAGTCTTCGTATATAAAAAAAAATAATTTGTCAATAATGTGTTTACAATGAAATCTACGGAAGACCGGAAGTTTGCAGTGCAAAAAATAACGTCACGTGGATTGAAGTTTCTGTCTAGTAAGGGTTGTTCTTCACTGTATAAATTTAGCAAACTGTTCCTGCTGAAACACGTGTGCATCATTTTCATTAAGTTAAAATAGGTACTTTCATCTAGTTTTCATCGTAGTCCTGTAATGTTTGGTTGAAATTGGTTGAAAAATGTAGGAAATTCGATCCAATAAACGTAACACACACAACCTGGGTTTTTATAATAAGTAAGATTCACATTTTGCCTCTAGAAAACTAAAAAAATTTTCAGTCATTTACACTCTTTTACTTTTAAATGAAACATATTGTTTGCTTTCAGAAAATACCTAGTTTCATGGGATTCAGATAAACTTTACCTGGTATTTTTTCAGATGAGATAAGTAATTTTTTATTACATAAAAATATAAGAATCCATTTATTTATTTTTTTCCGAGAGAATATAGGCTGTGACAAAATGACTTTTACTATGTTTGATTATTTTTACTGGGGATAGAATTTTTTTTTATAATAGCAAATCTGAATTGACTTTAGAGGGGTCTATATGGGCCCTCAAACAGCAGTGCAGCACTTTTTATTTTAATTTTTTTAATAGTATTTATAATTTCTCCAGAGAGTATCAACAAACCTATGGTACATAGTAGTTAACAAAAAAAAAAAAAAAAATTGTAATGGCGAAAGTTTTTTTTACTTTAAATATTACAAGTTACTACTTAAGTGAAAAAAAATAATATGTCCATTCTGTGCTTCCTTCTCAAGCTGTCAATAATTTATAGATGTCATCACTTGGCACTCTGTCAATCAACGGCAACGTGAAGATTGGCTCTTTATCTTTAAAAACATTTTTCTAATCAAGAAAGTAAGTAAAAGTTTCTTTCAAAATATTTTAAATAAACTTTAAATTTTCTAAATTTCTTCGAATAAATATTGAAATACGATATAATTAATTTTTAAACGAATTTTAAACTGAATTTAACTTATTTTTAAAATTTTTAAAAATATGGCTGATATAGAGCTTTTTTTCGTTTTTTCTGTAAACATTCATTTTTAACTAAAATTTTTTTTTTAATGAGTAAAAATTTCAAAAATTACTCAAAAAATACTTTAGTGTTTCTTCTCAATAATGAAATATACTTTTATCATGAAAAAAAATTTTTTACAGTTAATTTTCAGACCGTTCTTGTCATATATTAGATTTTCACAAATAAATAGAGGTACCTATTGAAATGTAATTGTCATCTTTGATAACGGCTAATGTAAGCCAAAAGCTTAGATTGGATTTAAACATGTATCAATATGGTGATTTCCTTTTGTCTTTCACTGATGTTATTAAGCTTATCAGACAATATGAAAGGAACTTATTTAAAATAAATAGACAAAACTTGTCTATTTAATGAAACATGCATCAATAAAAAATTGCTGCCTAAATATACACAATATATGTCAGATTAATAAAAAACCATTACTTTAGAAAAATTACCTTGATTATGTATGAATACAAGTGTGCAGACATGAAAAATTTTGAGAAATCTATGAAAAGAGAAATTTTGCTTCAAGTCACTATATTGACTTTGCCTGAACAGCTAAGTTCTTTGCAGTTCAGTTGATCAGAGTGTGCTGGATTTAATGGCAGCTCCTTCTGAATGAGGGGGATGCAGGTTTGAATCCTGCGGGAAAGTGGATATTTTTCTTTAATAATATTTCTCAAACAATCAGGATGGTGGACAAAAACTGTTTAATGAATAGAGTGTCCACTCTAATACGAATATCCACTAAAAATAACTTTTAAAGTGTTTTTTTATATATATATATATATATATATATATATATATATATATATATATATATATATATATATATATATATATATTATATGAATGGAACTTATTAGAAAGCACTCAATAGAGATAGAGTTAACATATTTGGTTGGATTGATGCGAAGTTTGTGACCCTGGGTTTCACGCCCAAGGTGCTATCAGGAGTCCTATGCTGTTTTTGATCTTCATCAATAATCTTCCTGATGTCATCAGTTCCCTAGTAGATATTTATGCAGATGACACTACCATTTACTCGTCTCAATAGCAAATCCAGAGCTGACAAAGTAAACCTGGTCACTGCTCTTGAATAAAAACCTCCAATCTGGGTCAGGAAATGGCTTGTAAGTTTTAATGCCTCAAAAACTAAACTGCTCTCATTTAACCACGATAGAGAAACTTCCATGTCTGCCATCAGCATAGTAGATGCTCAACTCCTAGAAAGCATTTCACTGTGCCTTCTTGGCCTCACATTTTCAACTGACGTGAAGTAGAAGAACTACATTGAATCAATAGCTGCATCTACTGCAAGGAAAGTTAGTTCATTGTTTCTTGTCACACTCCATCTTACACATTTACAAATCTTACATTCGACCGTGTATTTAATACTGTTGCCATATCTGGTCTGGTGTTCCTGCTATTTATCTTGAGGTTCTTGACAAAATCCAAGGAAAGATCTACAATATCATTGATCCTGATTTGCTATCTCAACTTTGGTCACTTTCTCACAGATGTGGCATCCGTCTTTTCTACAAATATTTTCCTGGCAACTGCTCTGACAAGCTTTTTTCCTTGGTGCCACCCTACATGAATTTAAGCATGTTACTAGATTGGCATCTAGGTCTCATCCTTTTACTGCTGAAATAGTTAAATGGAACCACCACTCCTACCCCAACATTTTCTTTTCTCGCACTTCCCGACAGTGGAACTCCTTTCCATTTACTTGCTTCCCTGAAAATTACGATCCTCAAAACTTTAAATACAATGTCAATCGCCATCTTCTGTCCTTCTTGAATCCCATTCATCTTTTATTGTTTCTTCAACACCTGCCCCGAGTATTCTCACTTATTTCACTCAATGTAAACCCCCGTAGACTTGCTTTGGGTTAAATATTTAAAAAAAAAAAAAAAAAAAAAAAATCTAAACTGACCCAATGTTGAGGCTAAGTTGTGCAAAAAGCAAACTTGCCAGCAACCTTCTACAGTGCAATTTTTTGAGCTCTCAAATCTTTAAAAATTTCTCACGCTTTTACATTTTAATTACTTTTCTTAGCTATGTGCTTTTACGAAACAAAAACTAATTTGTTACACATAAAAGGAATTCTAGAGATTTTCCAGTTTGCCATTTTTTTTTTTTATTCTTATGATTATTTTGTTTCTACTATTATTATAATTTTGAATAAGAACAACATTTCAGAATTTACAAAGATCTCTCATTGAAAGCATTATTTTCTATGTAGAAAAAAAGAGAAAGAAACACTTACGTGGAGTGCTCTGAGCAACAGGTGACTGGCTTTTGTAATTGGGAAGAGCCATACTGAAATATGGCTATCTGCAAAAGAAAAGCAAGAAAAATATTAACATTAGAATTACAAAACTAAATCAACATTTGAAAGAATCTGTAGTAGTAATATGCGTTGTGATGAAAAATGACTTACTCCGGAGATTGAAATGAGCAAGAACATATCTTGCATGCAAAGTGCTGAAAAGAAAACATGGCCACTCCTGGGGGCGCAATTTACGAGTGCTTGTCTTGTGTCAACAAAATGGGATTTGCACATATGCAAATTCTGGCCTGCTTGAGGAGACATAAAAAGCCAGATGTTAAGAGCAACAAGAGACTTTTTCTTTCTTTCTTAGGCTGATTACATTTGCTAGTCTGATGAATGGATTGACAGGAAAAAAAAGAAGGTGAAAGAGAGGCAACTGAGTGAAATGTGCCAAGTGTGTGGCAGTGAAGAAATAGAGCCCCGGAATCTATTTCCTTTAGGTGAATGAGGAAGAAGAGTCAGTCTACTGACAAACGCTGCACTTGATTTTCTTTTTTTTACCGATCTCATTTATTTTTTTCCTACAGAACCTTTAGTTACTGACAGTATTTTGATAATTATACAAATTTTCTTTATATACATGAGGTGTTGAAAAGCTTCCAGCAAAAAAAAAAAAAAAAAAAAAAAAAAAAAAAAGGGGTTTAGTTATTTGTTTAAATTTTGATGTATGGGCAGATGTGTGAGTGAGTGAGAGAGAGAGAGAGAGAATTTGCAAGGTATTTATGTCCTGACACACTTATAATGGTGGAATTTCTATCTTGAGTGATATACTACTAAGTATTAAATATAAAGTCTGAGGAAAAAAAAAAAAAAATTGGTTTTACAAAATTCAAAGAGGTTTTAAATCAATGCTTATTCTTTGAGGGAAATGAGACAGTTTAGCTTTAAACTGAAGTAAAAAAAATTGTGAGGAAGTGCTTCTCAACCACAGTGCCTCATACTGTATTTTGCAAGATTTGTTAGTCTGATGTATATTGAAATTAAGAGAAGTATTCCCTTTAGTGAAATTCGGAAGGGGGAGCGAAGTAAATGAAAAACCTATCTAATAACATATAATTTCAATTGGATTACAACATATGATGACAGGAAGAAAGCTTAGCTATTGGAGTGCCATTATCTCCAGTAATGGCAAACATATACAATGCTTCATGGAAATGGCATAGAATCTCTCTGTATAGCCAACCATTCATACTCTGGCTCCAGCAAGATGTGCAAATGCTGCTGAACGAATTTGAACTCAAAACCATCCAATACAGTTCACAATGGAGAAAGATCAACTGACCTTCTTGAATGTATTAATAACTTGCAAAGAGTATAAATTCAAGACATCCATTTACTGTAAGCTAACAGTCACCAGAAAATACTTAAACTTAAATCCCCAACATTCTTAAGTGTGATCTAGATACATACCAAAAAGGGATGCTCAGAATTGGAAAACCCTTCAGGGTGTTGCCTACTCTGCAGGTATAATGCCTACTTCCATGAGGAGGGATAGAAAAGTCAAGTACAACAATAAAAAAAAAAAAAAAAAAAAAAAATCTGCTAGTTTGCATACCATACATATGGATAGGGATATATCTGAAATGACTTGGATTTATATGATCCATAAAACATCAAGACAATATTCAATAGTTAAACACTTCATAGATATCTCCTTCTGGAAGAAAATATGACTAAGAACTATGTGTATTCCATCTTGTGCAGTTGTGACAACAAATGCAAGGGAGACTAGCCACCTCCTAAAGTAAGAACAAAGAAAGATGGAAAAGCTGTTGTCCAAAGAGACGGATGCTGAAATCACTGATCATATATAAAAAGGAAAAGGGCGGTCATTAACTTTTGTGAAATAAAGTCAAGACAACAGAGAAAAACACAAAGGAGGATAAGTAAATTAAGCATAGAAATGAATATCTGGGAGCCTCTGATTAAGAAAGAAAAGGCAAAAAATTCCACCACCCAAGCCCAAACACTAATAGAGTTTCACCACCTGGGCAAAGACATTAGATTCAAGGCACCAGAATTTTAAGACTAGATTTTCTAAAAGATACAGGACATGTGGATTAAAGTATTGGTTAAAATATATCAGGTTTTCTGATAGTTGTAAGTAGAAACCCTTGGTCTCTTAGTGCTTTGGTTCAGGACAAGCGGCACAAAGGTGAATAAGACTGGTTAACATTAATTGATAGGAAATTTACCCTAAGCATGAAAAGCAGAATGGGAACAATTTATTGCAATTGACCGATTGATTGGTTTGGTTCAAGATTACAAGGTACAACAAGAAACACTTGAAGGCCAAGCGATACGACAAGCAGATATGAATTAAAAACATTTACTTATATTCTCAGTTACTTAAATTGTTCATCTTTATCTCTTAGAAGTTTCAGTAGTCATTACATTTTTTGGTGTGTAAAGTGGAATATTTCAATGTACAAGGCAATGTACTGTTTCATTTGTCAACTCTTTCTGTTAACATGAAAGCATTCTACAGAACTTAAATATTCCAATAAAATTTTTATACTCAATCTATGTCTAGCATTTAAACCAGGAGATTCAATGCTGTTTTTAAGTTAGGCACCCCATCACTGCATACTTTGAAGATAACAATCTGTAAATTGTGTTTGTAGTACAAATATTTCTTTTTATTAACAATTGCTTCCAAGACTAAGATACCTTTGCTAAATAACAACAAAATTTATAAAATTGAATATTTTTTATTTTTTTTATTTCTAGCACATGCAGCAACTAAAAATTGGCTTAACTTGCAGTAAGTGGATACAAATTGCTAATTTTTAAGGTTTTGGTGTATTTCAAGAACAGTTGGTCCTGCTAAGGTTAAATTATAGTTTAACTTTCCATAGATCTTCTTTGTTATCATCTTTAAGTTTAAAAAAAAAAGAAAGAAAAAAGTTTTCATCCTAGCATTAAATTCAAATTTTCAAATATAAACTAACTGTTAATGGTTCAAATGAAGTTGAGAATGTATTTCAAATTTATATTAAAAATTAATTTTTTGTTTTCTAACCAAGCCAAATTTTTTATTTATTTTTACATACATAGCTTATTATTTTCTACAGACACACACACGATTTGTGTAAAATAGAGGTTCTGGATACATAGAAATTTGAATTGTCACATTCCTATTTTTTTTGACCAATGAGAGCCCCTAAAAGACAACATTTTAATGACACTTGCAGATGATCTACTTTATAAAAATTGTAGGATCCAATCATATCTTTTCACTCTTAAATGATAAGATAAAAAAACAAAAAATATTTTCTTAGCTAATTAGAAGTGAATTTAAATCTTTAAGCCCCAAGTTTATTCTTAGTTATCTTGTCATCTGTAAAAATTTGTACATTTTGCAATTTGCCAATTACTAATTGTTGACATTGTTCAAGTCAGTGCCATCTCTACAATATTTTATTTCCTTTCATTTTAACAATTATCAACATTCTTTAAAACTAACTACAAAACTTGTATTATCACCAGCAAAGTTTACATTTTACTTTTTTCCTTTTTAAAAATTCATTTTAAAACTTAGGTATCATACTTTGTATGTACTTATATATATGCCTTCAACATATACATAATCAATGTATCAAAATTCACTTACGCAAAAGAAAGGAAGAAACATAGTCAAACAAAAAACTATTTGATATTTGAATTGTCAAAGGACTGATCATATTTCATTTCTCCATTTGATGGTTTGTAATTATACCTCTTTCTGTTTACTGACATTTAAAAATGAATATGTTTAATTTGTGTATCATTTTTTCAACAAGTTATTTTCTACAAAACTGGTGACCCCAATATTATTCTTTCATACAAGATATTCCAGACGATTGTAAAATTATACTGTTCAAAATGTAAAGATTTGTTCATTGCATAAACTAAAAAATAATTGCATTCTGCAGTCAATGCCATTTTAAGTGTAAAATGTATTTACCCCCACCCTAAACATCTTTTCAAACGACTCCAAGGGGGGAGGGGACTATAAAAAGGGAGATAATTGCGTTTTTTACTCATTGACACCAAGCGATTCAAACTTGGAATTCATGGCAAACAAGATTTGTTTTTGTCGCCTCTTTTACTATTTGAGGAGAGAGGGTCATAATTGTTACAAACAAATTTTACTCTTAATGAAAGGATAAAAATGATGACTAATTTTCAAGCAATAAATACTCACATTCACATTTGTAATTATTTTTTATGCACAAGACAAAGGGAACAAAATTAAAAATTTGAAAATCGCTAGCAAGGAAAATATCTCACATTATTTAAAAAATATGATTAAAGAAGAAGTATTAAAATATTTATTACTAAGATTAAAAACATTTTTTTTTATTTATGATAAAAAATAAAATTCCTATTTTTTTTTTAAAATATAAAAATACATTTTCTTTTAAAATTATAATTCATAATTAAAAAAAAAAGTATTTTTTTATATTATTTTAGAAAAGAAAAATTTAATAAATATCGTAATTGATTTAAAAAAACAAAAAAACCTTTTTAATCTTACTCTTAAAGATTTTAATAATTTTTTTGTCTCGTTGAAAAGCGATTTTTATTTTATCGGAACAATTTTTTTTTTCCGGAGTGTGAAGGTTAAATAATCCCCTTAAATAAGTAAATTAATATAAATTATATTATTTTATGTTAAGTATAGGGAAGACTAAACTGTAAAATAAGATACAAACCCCTTTTTAAGGGAGTGAAAAGATAAATCTGAACTTCATCCGACATGAAATGATGAGGTTTTAAAAAAATCAATGTTGAGATTCACAAAATCTATCCACTATTTTTTTTAATAATAAACCGTCGCTTTCCATTTTTACATGGGTAACTTAGATATAATAAAAATATATATATCAACTAATTAAAGAATAATTAAATAAGTTGAGAAGAAAGAAAAAAATAGTGGCCAGAAAAAAAAAAAAAAAAGATTTGCTTTTTGTTATCGTCATCATGGAAGAAAAGTAGTAAATCCGGTGCCATTCACACACTAATAATCAGATCATAGCTTCAAATAAAACATCAACATTTTCGTTTATAATAATTATTTAGCATGGCCTTAGGGAAAATTCAAAGTTGAAAGAAACTTTTAATTTTAAATTAAAACTCATTTTTTACTAAAAAAGGAAACTCATAATTTTTTATCATATCGAGATGTGCATTCATAGACAAAGAAAAACGTATATCTTAGCCAAATAAATACAGATCTAATACCGCATAAAAAGACATCTCACTTTAAAATAACACAAATTAATACTTTCTGGCATAAAATATTTTCACTTACCCCAGATTTTAGAAAAATATACTTCAACAATTCATTTATCACTTCAATAATACTTGAACAATGGCTGCGTTTAACGATTAAAGTCTCGAACGCAAAATTCGAAACAACTCTTTCGATAATGTTTTTATTTTAAAAACTAACAATTTATTTTATGGTAAAATCTAAGATTTTTAATAATTCAAAAGTAACATTTGATGTTTTAATCGAAAAATTCGAATGGTTTTATGCTTGTAATCTCGTTCGTCCGGCTCGAGATTTCAAATTGGCGGCAAAATTTTACTCAGGAAGCCGTCCACATTTCAGTCTTTTTTTTTTTTTTTTTTTTTTCTTAACTCGAAACAGGTAAAAATTATTTTTAATTAATCGTTTATCCAAGAATGTTTAGTGTTAGTCATTTCATTTCAATAGAGTTATTAAATAAGGCATAAATTTAGAGATCGAGATGTATTGTTGTTTTCTTACCCTCCCCTCCAAACCTGATTTATCTTTCTTTAAAGAAGATTTCAGGTTTTTGGGGGACAACATGCAAAAGAAATCAGGAAGAATTTGTATTATTCTTTACGAAGCGAGTTTATTTGAAAATAAGGAAATAGATAAGATCATTCAGGAAGGAAGTAAAATCTGAAATAGTTTAATCAGCTGTACAGTGAGTGATCAATATTTTGTTTTTAAAATCGATTGTATGATGTTTTTGTTTTTCACCGTCAGGTTATTAATGATAAATCATTTTTCTAAATTCAAAATTACCATTTCATCAAGTTTATTTATTTTTAGCCATTGATGATCTAATTGTTCTCTTTCAGGTTTTGTTTTTTCTTTTTTTTTTAATTTACATTCAGTAGCATTATCTTTATTTGTTCAAGTTGCGGCAGAATTGACAACCATTGTTGTTATCATTATTATTTACTTTTATTTATCTTTTTCCCATTTTATCGCAATTTTGACCCAGGCCGTCAATCAATGACAATATTAATGGGACAATGTGAATCATAAGTTATTAAAATGTTTTTTTTTTTTTTGTTTTTTTTTTCTAAACAACTCTATGCACAAAAAAGACATTGATTTTAAAAAAAAAAGTTAAGTTTTTTAGTTTAGCATTCCAAATTGTCAATGTTTACGAAGAAAGAAAAACAACCTCCAAACAAAATAATGTTTCACCTTTATTTTTCCGATTTAGCGCATATTTTGATATTCCACGATGAAATTTTAAACGATTTAAATTTCTCGGGATTTTATAAAAATAAATATTTTTTATCTGTCTGTATTTCTGAGATGAGGTATTAATCATTTTTTTTTTTTTTTTTTTTACACAATACACTGTTCGGACTGTTGTCTTCATCTTTATTGCTATATTCACGACGGTGGACTAAATAAAGGGTTCAGTTCGAAATTCCAATCACCTGAAGAAGGCCGGAGTGTACTACGACTGAAACGTGAATATGGCAATAAAGATGAGGATAACCGACGCGAACAATGCAAAGTGTAAATAATTTTTTTTTTTTTTTTTTTTGACCAAGATATGTTGTGATTTCTGAAGGGAAGGTAAATTAAAAAATAATAATTTGCTAATTATTTTTTTCCTATAGATTTTTCTTTTCATAAATAAATTCATCTATAAATTAAAAATGCCCCCAAAAGTCGCATAATCTGACCAAGTCAACAAAGTGTTTTTTTTGTTTTTTAATAATGTGGAAGAAAAAAAGAAACAAAATTTTTCAAGTTTGTAAATTGGACACAAATTTTCATATCAGATTTTATTTTTATCCAATCTTTCGAAAATGACATAAAAATTAACATAATTAAAATTAATGAATGCTTTTTTTTCTTTTATGAACACATGCCGATTTGTTTTCAAAATTGTCTTTGTTTTCGAATTTAATTTTCCTTTCTAAATATTGAAAGTGATTTTTTTTTTTTTTTTTTTTTTTTTTAAATTGAGAAAACTTCTTTAATTTATCTTTGTTTGTTATTTTAACTTAATTTATTGATGTTACTTCTCTAGGTACTTTTCAAAATGAAAAAAACAATTTAATTTGCACATTTTTCTAATTTATTTGAATTATCTTGATAAGTAAACACACACACACACATATATACATATGTATTTTTGTTTAAAATTTCGCACATTTATAGAGAGAAAGTGTGATCCATATTGGAGAGCATTTATTGACACTTTGGACATAGGAATCAACAATGTATGGCGATTGTCAGTTTCACACGTTCATGCTATCTTCAGATATAGTGCTGATTCCTATCTCTCTCTCTCTCTCTCTCTCTGACAGAGATGCAAGAAAAAGTTCTAACTAAAATATGTTCTTGGGCAAATCCTTTCTTGGTCAGGTCGATAACTTTTCAACATCTCCACACGTATATTACAAAAATTTTACGTACATAAAATATTAAAATGAATTAAAAATCTTCAGTTGACATTAAAGTTTAATGTCAACTGAAGTTTAATTCATTAATTATTTAAACTTAAACATTAGTTTCTTTAACTAATGCTTGTATTCTATAAAAGAAAAAGAATTACAACAAGCAAGGATATGGAGCACTAAACTATATGATCTCCCAAATATTTAGGTATTTAATCATTTCTTTCATTTTTATGAATTTTTTTTCCAAACATTTAAAGAGAAAGTTTTGATAAATTCTTTTCAATTGTAGTTGGAAAGTGACTTGGAATGAGAAATCCGAGAGCCAAGTTCCAATTCCAGTTGGGTTTGTTATATTCACTTACACACAAATATATTTGGAAAAGTGTGGCAAAAAACCTTTAAATTCTCCTCGCAAACAACGCTCCCAGTGAAGCCAGCATTTCTTTCTTGTTTGGACAGTTTGCATGCAAGGCACGTTTGAATCTTTGCTTGTGCTGGAAGTAAGTTATTTTATTTTAATGTTGCAAAAAATACATGCAACCCTGGGTTCTTTGCCTTCAGTAATAGTTCACTACACTCTCCTCGGGTTCTCATGATTGCAGCAAATGCAACCAAGGGGAGGCCTCTTCTGCTGGGTACCCCTCTGAGGGAGAGCAACATAAGTTTTGTCTTCAGATGAATCACCACTGGTCGAGTCATTGGGTTCTCTTGCGCCAGACTCTGTGCTGCTGGTTACAGGAGAATCACCTGGCAAAGTTGATCTCAAGTCAGCTATTGCATTGATTCCCCATACACAGATGTGATACTAAAGTAATGTATCTGATGGTGCTGTAGATGCTGAGCAGTTATCCTTAAGTGTGACATTATACCAATAGACTGCCTCTGGTATAGAACACTGCTTTCTTTTGGCAATGGTTTTAATGCTTCTGTGACTCCTTATGACTATACCATTCCCGAAAGATGCATAAGCACATTGGAATTGAAGCTGCATGCCCCAGTTACTGAAGAATTTTCTGAAGTGCCCAGACGTGAAAGCTGTCATTGTCTGTTAAGATTTCTGTCAGTGGACCCAGCTCAAAAAAAAATTGATGGTAATTGGTTAATAACACTGGGGGAGTCGTGTTGATGAAGTGGTTACCATATTGCAAATTGAGATGGACCAAAATCAATAAGAGTTAGAAAGTGTCCACTGTCAAAGTGTGTGATATCCATTGCTAACCTGCTACAGTTGTTTTTCACTCCCATTTTTACTTTCTGCCAGTGTACTGGCACCAGGTCAATAGATTGGTAAGTTTCAGAATTTTTGACGACTGATGTTGCGACTTTTGTTGATACTGAAGAGTTGACAGACCTGGCAAAATAGTGTCCTCTTCATACCTGGGTGCCCACTTTGTTTGTGGATTATTTGACTCACTCTCAACTTTCTTACAGTGGCACACCCTAGTTGTACAGGTTTGACTCTTTCCTTGTACAGCTCCAACCATTTCTGGGGCACTCTGTTGAAGCAATCTGCCCAGCTTCATATCCATTGTCAATGCATACTTGTCAACCAGTGTGCAATGTGTTTCCAGTCGCTGTCTTATCAACATCTCACTGGCTGCCCTTGTTTTTACATGTGCCTTCCCAGTCAAGGTGTCTGATATCCAACGATGAATGCATGCAGAATCAGTAACCAGATGCAAGACCGTCATCTGCCATTTGAGGGCCAGATTGATGCCTTTTAACGTTGTGTCGAGTTCTGTTAAAGTAATATGCTTCGCATCTCCTGCCAGACGCAACCAACAAGCATCCTCAACAATGTCCCTGTTCACTTCCAATGTCACTCTCGTGGCCAAAATCTGGCGTCCACTCATACCTTCATTTCGTGGCTAATCTGGGACATGATCAAGTCGATGATAGCCATCATAATGAGAGGTGCAACATTTAAGCCAAATCCTAATCGCGTAAGGCAATACCTCTTGCTCTTGATCAGCATGATTTGAAAGGGCCACTGCCTTGTCAATATGTATCTGTAGGTAAGCTTTTCTTAAAACTAACAGGGATATGTTCACTCCCTGTCGGCGCCACCATTCCTTCAACTTCTGGGTGCACACATCCACGTCAACAGTGAATGCTTCCACAAAATTGTTCAGCTCCCTGTAATCAAGCACTGGCTGAACATTCTGTTTGCTTGAACCACTGCCATCAACGGAATCAGGCCCTTGGGTGGGCTGTGCTCACTTTCAGGATATGGCAGCAGCCATTCACTGTCTAGCCACAACTGCAGTTTTTTTTTCATCAGGCATGTTGTACTCTGGTACACTTCAATCTTTCTGCTGTTTGACCTCTCTCCCATTTCTTATGAGGCAGACCAAAACTACTTCTGGTAGTTAAATTGCACACTAAAATCAGGTTCGTTGATGGAAATGATGGTACATTGGGGTATATCTTCCTTGGAAGTGGACTTCACCCGATTTAGTTATGCACATTCTCCGCAAGTTCCCAGATTGTATTGATCTCCAAAAGCAGATCAAAACTTAGCAATGTTCCATCCACAACCAGGACTTCAATATTCATGGCTCAAGCACAACCAACATACAATTTGACTGTGTCATACCCATGGCACGTTAGTGAGTTAACACCTTCACATCCTGGCATTGGGAAAGGTGGCATATAGATCTGCTCACTAGTATCTGTGAGCAGCCAGTCTACAAAGGCTACACACTTCTGTTCATCTATAAGCACTTCAATGATAGGTTGTGCATTGTTCTTTACTTGAACTGTTTCCCTGGCACACAGACGAGATGTGTCTAACCTTGCTGCAATGAAAGTAACACACTTAACAGCATGATCTACACAACCGGTTATCTGCCCCCTCCAGGTGTCCTTGTTTACACCCCTTAGCAAAGTTATGAGGACCAGAGCACTTGAAACAAATTATGCCAGAAGGAGCCATCTCAACGCATGTTCATTGAATGGATGCGACGACTTGCTTTTCAGGTTTTTGGTTATTAGTCATAATGGCCCTTGCTTGGATTAGAAGTCGCTCCAAGGTCATAGTCTCTATTCTGGACAATGTTCTAAGAAGCTGTCTAATGTCCTGTGGCAGCCCAGACATGAATGCGCATACCACTTAGGCAACTGTCTGCCAACCAGCTGAGCCAAGCACGGTACCTCTGCCAAAAATTCATCAAGCTTCCCCAGTACAAAGTGGCCTCATCGTAAACTGGTCAAACACATTGAAGGAGTCTGTTATGTATGCAGTCACAAGGGTTTGTTTATCTGACCTCTG